TCCATATGTTTTTATATTACGATGCTTATACTATTTAGGATCCATATGATTCCCTTAACTGCGTCTTCGTCCTACACCCGCGACCAGCTATTCGTGAAAGAGGAATGGGAGGCCATGTTTGCGGAAACTGCCTTCACACCCGCGAGTAAAGTTCAAGGTGGTTGGCAAGGCATCTTATTTGCTAATTTGGCACTCATCGATCCATCTACCTCGTGGGAATTTTTTTCTCGCGATCCCTTTGATTATTCGAAAATTGATGGGGGAGCTACTCGAACATGGTATCTCGCATTTGCCGCAGGTAGGATTTAACCGTAGTGTTCCTCTTGAATGAATTGCCTTGCTGCTCACTAACACCGAAATCTAGGCTTGGGAGGCGGTCCACGTCTATAAGCTAATATGCAGATTTGAGTCGGGATTACCTTTCTTTGCAGTGGGTAGTCCATTATGGCAGGGTATCCCCTAACCAGATTTTTTTAACGGTGACTGAGATATAAATATATATATATACACATGTGCGAGCATATTTATCATCCCATACTAAATACATTGTGTCCGTTCGCTATAAATTTCTCTCATTGCTGTGGTTTTCTGCTCGATTTGAAAGGCCGGAACAATGCATATAGTATATATATAGATGGATCAAGCAGTTAGCTATGTAGTATAACAATGGCTAGAGACTTCTTAGTACATGTATGAAGATGTTTATGATGTTATTTGTTTTTTATATATACCTCGACCTGTTTTTCTTAAATTTGATATCGGCTTAATGGAAGGGCTTTACAACTCAACAATGGGGTATGATATCCTTCTTCTTCCTCTTCATGGTAAATTTTATGTTCCTTGTTGGCTCTATTCATGCTAGTAAATGTACCACATTTGTCGTTATATGATGTGATGATGTCATACTGTTAAAATCGTAGATTATCATAGATCAACGCATGCAGCATATTTCTTTTAATATTTTACTTCAATTGATCATAGATCTGATCTCTCTCTCTTTGTCCCCAATGTAGCAAATCAGTAACCGTAGATCATAAAGTTTTATATTTATATACAACTTGTTTTTTTATTGTTAATGTGCTTGTCTATATATACTAGTAACTAACTAACTATTCATAGAGTAATAAGAGTAATATATTTTACCTGTTTTCCTTGCGGATTTTCACACCAGCGCTGTAGATTGCATGGAACATATTTCTTGATTCCTACGGCCCTTCCACCGCAGAAATTGCCCCGCGTAAATGCCTCCGATCTACATACGTTGATCTTCGGGGTTTGAGAGACAGAACGAGTGATGCGGCAGCGGAACTCTCAAAGGTTTCTCCTCGTAGAACAGTATCTTGAAAGTTGTGGCTTGAATGATGCGTTGATTTCAACAATACTATAACTAACTAGTAGTTATGTATGTTTTTCAGGTGTTTTGTTGGGATGGGGAAAAGTTGGATTTTTGGATTTTTTGTTTTTTTTTATTTTCCCACTCCAACCATACGAGTAGTACTGTACCTGCTTGCGCGCTTATACGATGTGCTGTAGATACTGTTCCATAGATGTTGGGAAATGAATAAGTTTAGTGTATGGATCTTTTTTTTTTTTTTTTTTTTTTACTTTTTCTTTTTCTTGTTGGAGGGGAATTGGATTGGGTGATTCGTACCCTCTATACCACCACGGCGCTGGTGGTGATCGAGCTCTTTTGCCCTAGTGGCCTATTATTTCTTTCGTTTGAATTTAGTATCAGGTGTTTAAGCAGAACAACTAAGTCACACCGGTTTCAGCCAGAAAGAATCATGTAGAGTATAAGGAGTTAGTATAAAGAAATCTGGGCTGCATTAATAGTATTTGTGTTCCGTCTATTCGAAATAAGCCTCACTCTATAGAAAATACTATAGATTAAAGCAGTAGATTTTGTGTTTTTTTAAAAAAAAAAAAAGGGAATGGTTTATGGAAATATATCAAAACTGATGAGGAATTCTCATTGCAATAGAGTAAACTAGCAGCTCCACGTATCTAGCCAGCGAAGAATAAAAAAAGGGAAGGATCCGGTAACCATCTCATCCCCAACTTCCTCCCCATGCAAGCTATTAGAAACAAAAGTGACAATGAAATGCCTTAGGCACCAATCAGAAATTTGACAATAATATCCAATCCAGCAACTTCTATTACCCTTCCACCTCTTTGCTCCCAACTCTTCGCAAAAACTAACAAGAAACGAAAGGAAAAAACAAAGAAGGTAAGGAGCGACAGTAGGAAACATCTAGGCTACTCCCCGCCATTAAGCCCTCACCATTTCTTTTTCAAAAATTGTAGCTCGGTCGTACAAAACAAACAATTGTCGCGCGCGTAGTGGAATGCGGAAAGGCGAGAGTAACCGATGACAAGCAAAAGGCCTAGCTAAATCTGCACCCCCACACTTTGTGCTGTTTCCCCACTCCCCCGAAGATCAGAAAAAAGAATAGACACCGTTCGATCGCGTATCACTTGAATCCCGGGAGGATGAGAGCAACTTGTAAGGCACTAGCTGCGACCACTGTGTGGTTGCATTTACAGGCCGACGAAGGTAACTGGCTGCTGGAGGGTAGCAGAGCAGGTTTGGGTCTATTGAAGATTGGGATTTATATTAGCATTTATTTGCGCCCAGGTTTGCGAACTTGGACTAGTGGGAAAATATTTGGTTGCCCCTGATATTCAGGTCTTAGGATTGGGTTAACACTTACTCCGCCGTTGTTGTTGCAGCAGACGATCTGGGTGTTGCAGCTGACGGAGCTGCCGGTCATAGCAGTGCAAGTAGTTCCGAGAGTGCTCTCAGGAGCACAGCAGAAGGGACCGCCGGAAGAGCAAGAGATGCTCTGGAAGACTGGGCCTTCAGGGCGGGATGGGCGCTCGGGGCGGGGAGGAGCACGGCCGGCAGCAACGCTGGTGGCGAGGACAGCGACAATGGCGACGATGTTGGTGAGCTGCATTTTGAAGGTTTGGGGGGTTTGATTAAGAATTAAAGTTCTTAAAAGTGAATAAGAAGATTAGATAGAATTGGGAATTAAGTCTTAGAGATTGTTTGTGATGCTGATGATGAAGGGAAAAAAAAAAAGGTATTTCGACGGGAATGAAGGGCCTATTTATGTGTTTTCTCAAGGCTCACTCGATGTCCATGGATGAAGTGTTTTACGTTCTAGGTTGGCTCAAATCTCACCCTTGCAAACTTCCCTCTTCACGGCCTTTCCAGTGGAGGGAGTCTCGCTTCGCCGAATTGAAGAATCAAGCCCTGGCGCATCTGGGATACCAAACAGCGAATGTCTCGCGTGTTGCAGCCTCGTGGCTGACGGGCTGGTGGATAGAGATAAGCCAGGAATCATAGATCTCAGCTTCTGTTCCCCCTGCTGAATGTTCTGACCCCTTTTCTTCTGCATGAATGTGGTAACACTTGACCACTCCCATGAGTCGATGGCGTTAAGGTTGTGCAGAATAATGGTGTCTATATTTAACATCTAGCTGGAGTGTGACCCGGGCATTTTGATATGGATCGTATCAACTTCACGCAAATTCCCAGAGAAAACAGCCAAGTGACAAAATGGCGTTGAGTCCAGACCATACACAAACCTGCATTTCCAGTATGGCCAATCCATCCTTGTTTGCATGTAGATACAAAGGGTGGTGAGGTTTGGTCAACCGTGGCATACAGACAAAACAGACCCAGCCCCGTGGGAATCGACAGGGCTGAGGATTGGAAAATCTAAAATTGGTTTGCTGGCAAGTGCCGTGGGCCAATCAACCATACAGGGGCCATGAAGGTTCGGAGTGAAGGTTTTGAGCCTCAGCTCAAGAAATGGCATCCCATGAGCTGTACCTTTGGCGTGGCAGGATACTCGCCTAACATTCACGAATCAGAAACAAGGCTGCAACATCTTGCGATGGAAACTAGGATAAAGGGAGATCAAGATATCCGAAAGCGGATAGGTTAATCATGGCCTTGAACCTGGCAGCTGCAGGCACTGTGGACGATGAAAGCCGATTCGACAAACTTCCAGGAGAACTGCAAGCCATCTAACAACACATGAAGCTCCGGGCTCTCTGAATCCACATGTCAACGCCATAGATCTGTTTGTTGGAACATAGTGAGCACCCAATATGAGAGAGTACCCTTGGCAGCAAGCTCTGGCGCAGAGAACCATGCTTCAATCTCCGAACACCACACGCGAATCTTCCAAAATATTTTTCCTATGAAGCCACCCTCACAATATCCTCGATCATAAAGAAGTCATGAAAATAACCGCCTAAAATGCGTAGATGTTTCATCGAGGGCGTAGGTTTACGAAGTCAAGGCAGCTTTTGCACGGGCAACCGAGCATTGTCGTGTCAATAAGAATGTGCGCTATGTTTATGGTGAGGCTCAGCGGAAGCCAATCAGCAACCGGCGCGGCCACCCGGTTCCCCGGGCAAGCCCATCATCGGTCCAGACCCTGATGCTTTTTGCCTCCGAGTCGAATATTTTGACCAAAGCGGCAGTGCGATGCAGTGAGACACATTAAAACTTCAAGGATTCCCGATTTCGATTCGCAAGCCAGGAACAGGATACCTAGGCGAGGTACATGAGGCAACGCCCGTTGTCCTCCCGTGGGCTAAAAGATTCCGGGGTTGACGCATCACAAAATGGCAGGAATGGCGGGATGACGGTGAACAGCATATCCGAGAACGTCTGGCCCATATCCACCGACCGGTTGGGTGAAAATGATGATGACTTGGGATTAGTCCAGACCTGCAATCGCAAACAAATAAGAAAAACAGCAAAAATGGAAAAAAGCCATTTTTCAGCCCCAGAAGAAATTTAAATGCAGCTGCAAAACAAACACAACTTCTGATTAGTCCGGCCAATTCTCACGTGGCCCAACCAGGCTGGATCAATCGTGGGATATTCGTGTTGATGGTCCCCACACACAGATACCCGATATCGCCCATTTGCTGAAGTCCATTGAGGTTCCAGAGCGCTTTTACTTCCTTTTTTTTTTTTTTTTTTTTTTTTTTTGCTTTGGGGGTTGGGGTGGTGGCTTTTGCGTACCAATGGAAGATATCCTGATGTCTCAAAAAAGATGGCACAAGCCTAAAAACATGTGCAGCGAATTACCTCTTGCAGCTTCAGTCCTATTTTTGGATTTTCAAGACGCAAGGCCGTGCTTGTGCCAGCTCATTACCGTGTCGATGGCTGTCTCTGGTTGAGAGAAAAGCAAGCAAAATGTGATGAGAAGATTATGGGGAGAGTTTGGTACAAATTGAGCCCACTTGCCGTCAAATAACATTTCCCAATCCGTCCTCATCTTCCCCGCCAAAACACAGCACCCTCTCACCTCTTCAAACCTGCCTTCATTCGTTTGCTTTCACTCGTTGGAAAATTACCCCATCGCTACCATGAAGTTCATCAAATCCTCCATCCTCTTCTCTCTCTTGATGCTGCTCACGCAGTCAATTGCTATCCCCATGCCTGGTCCGGTTCCCGCTCCGGAAGATGGCGATGTTGCTTTAGCTGAGAGAGGATTCCTCAGCAACCTGCCGGGGTTGAAGGACCTTTGTCCACCAGCTTCTTCCCAACCCGCCCCCGTCCAGCAAACGAACCAGTGCTCCAGCGGTGTTCCATACTGCTGCAGCACTGAAGGAGGATGTAAGTAAATTCAACTGTAAAATCCTCAAGCGACAACATTTGCTAACCAGTTCGATCTCGCCTAGCCCACAACTGCGTGGATTCCACAGTTGAATGCAAACAAACCGTTATTTGCTGCAACAACAACTTCGGGGTAAGTCATCACACGAATACACCCTCATATCATTTTGTGTTTCATATTTTCGAAACAGTCAGCTGAGACCGAAAAACCACTTTCAGTCCCAAGTGTGCATGGGAGACATCGACTTCAACATGCCGATCAATATCAATGTCAACCTTAAGTAGTTTCCCAGTAGCATATGCACGGGACCAGAGGCCCTTGGCTGTGCGTCGAGAGTCTGAGGAACAGAGGGAATTGCTGAGATTTGGTTCCGGCAGCTCTAAACTGATGGTAATGGGGTTAGTTAATGGCCTCATTCAGTTTGGGACTGAGCCCTTTTCTCAGGCATGGTTGTTGCTGTAGCTTTTTGCAAAGATTTATTATTTATTAATTTCGCACCTGATGTATGGATGGCCTCACCAGCACTGAAAGGGTACATTTTCTTCATCCCTGATTTGATCGTTCTCAACGACTTCACTCTTTTGGTTTTCTTCTTTTGGTCTGTTGTAGAAGACTCATCCTTTTGCTTCTTCCACCCCCCAACCAGCTTCTCCCACTTCTGCCTCATCTGTCAGTTATTCTGTCAATTTTTAATAGATAAATGAGAAACATTTTTTTGCTCCCGGATTTCTTTTCTGTTATTCTTATTTGTTCATATGGTTCTTGGCTAATCCGATGGAAAATGCCATTTTCTGATATTTCGCTGCATACCTGTAAAAGCTTGATGCTGTTTCACAGCGTAGGATTCCTCGAACTGCGATATCCGAATTGTATTCATCCAGCGCCTAAAAAATGTCTTCTGCGCATGTTGTAGAGAAGGCCTGGATATTGAAATCGAATCTCAAGTAAAAGAATTGCCAGGCGAAAATGCCCATAACGGCATATATTCTGTCCAGCTGGATGCGCTCCTGTCCATCTGCTTCGCACGCAGGTTGTCTTCACTTTTCCAAATTCCTTGCATCTCAATCCACATCTTGAAGCAAAAGAGGGAAATTATTCCAGGGGGATGGAGGATTTCTTATTAAGTCATTGAGTTGCAGATGGTGTGATTGGGATAGAAACTTGCGGGATCCCCTGGCACGTGCACATGGTTCGGATTTTCGGCTGGAAAAACTTTCCGTTGTTGGTGCTTTTCAAACATCAAAAAAATATCTAAATATCAGAACGGGTAGATGGTTAACTTCTAGTGCTCACAATGCAGTTACTTAAAATCGTGTTTCTCGGGCTCTAACACCCTAACGAAATGACTGGTGTGGGTTTGTTGTAGATGGGCTGGTACGGCAGCTGGGTTAAAAGTTGGGTCGACTTTTCAAATGTTATCTAGATAAGCCTCTCTTTCAGAAAGGGAAAATATATCAAAACTCATGAATACTACATGGCAGTGACTGACATCCAGGGAGTTTGACTTTGGGGCTTGTTTTCCTTCCTACCTCAAAATTGAAATTATTTTGGCTCCGATATTGATATTTCGATCTGCGCACAGAGACGTGAAACAATCCTCTTCGCAAATCACTAGGGATATAAACAGATAACTACATCAGAGCTAAATCTCCAGTAATTCCAATCTACATTGCTGGCACTTATGACCTGCATTGTTACCGGTTTGGTAACTTGTTGCACACCCCATTTACCTAATAAAAGCCCAGGTCCCTCCATGGTCTAGAGGATACCAGAGAGATGCATTGCCAGAATATATATATATATATATATATATATATGTATCAACTCCACGAGTGCTTTCGTGGAAAGTATGCACGCCATATTTATGCAGCCTTTAAAGAGATATCTTAATGAATATATAGCTTCGATATAAGGCATTTTATGTCTTAACTAAATACGCCGAAATACACTCTGAAGATAGCAAGTGATTGTAGAGAGTATGTTGTGAATTGCTACCTAGTAACTAACTATTGTATCCAGGTTACTGGGGCAAAAGCTATTCCCCACCAGCGCCATGTCCAACAGAACCGATGGTTCAAAAATTCTGGAGTACTGGCCACATAGCATCCACCGGTACATTGAAACTTAATCTCAAGAAATACTTAATTTGTTCATATATCCATCTCCTCTTCCTCCTATGATAAATAGACCTTGGATGGTTCCAACGCGAAAAGTTTTTCCGGCCCGCGAAACCTTCTAACCACCCCTAATTAGCCCCAAGTATACTAACTAGATAGGTTGGGGTTCAAATTTTTGCCAATGAATTTTGAGCAGGGATACAATTTAAACGTGGGTTTAGAAAAGTTGAATGTGGTTTTTAATTTTCTAACCTCGCAAAGCAATTAAAATCCTGATTGAAGCCATAAGCACTGGCATTTTATTCATTCGTTCGTTCATTTTTTGTCTGGTAGATAAGCATCAATGTGCAGATTCCGTTGCGTCCTGTTTCTGATTCCAAGATCCCTTGGTAGATTAGTGAGATTGTTTCTCCGTAGCTCTTGAAAACAGCTTATTTTGATTCCTCCGATATGATAAAAACTCAATGCAATATAATCAGAGGCCAAGTAGAATGCCTCTCCATCTTTTGCTAACGGGATGGAGGCAACTCGGGGCAAAATGAGGTTAAAATTTCCACTCATATTGTAATGGAATCAGGCTGCGCGCTCTTGGCGGCGCGAGAACAGGAGCACCAGAACCACACAGTGGAGAAACACAAGATCAACGTGTATTATATCTAACAAACTATCTCGAATAACATGAGGAAAAACTTGTAGGAGAATCAACTAGGAAAAAAGGGACCGGTAGTAGTATCAAGACATAAGGAATCGCATACATGAAGAATCCCCGCATACGTGTAAGGGGGAAAGATCTATCTAGCGGGCGGCGGCGAGGCGGATATATGCAGGGTAATGCCCGGTGAAAATTTCACCCGCGCCGGATCCCCATTACAATATATACGGGAAGGCTTTTCCTGTTTCTTTCTTTCAGGACTGTTAGCCTTCCCACACTTGCCTGTAAATTGTGAAGCGATCTATTTCAACATGCTGAAAGCCAGTGTTGTTGCTACTTGCCCTCATCAGCATTGCTACTTGCCTAGCCCCTCCCTGCAAACAAGAAAAAGACTAGATGGATTGCATGTTATCTGAGACTATTATGGGCCGGCTACCTATGTAATGATACAGTTCAACCCATTGATCATTTGTATGTATTCAAGTAGCTAATGCCATAGCGTGAACTGTAAGTGATAAGTCATGGTTTTCCTGAAATCGATGAGAGCTGCGCAAACAAACACTGATCGAATTGAAATCCAGCATCATGATCCAAGCTATATTAGGTGTGCTGTAGATGATTTGAGTATTATTCATACTGGGCTTGGACTGCAAGTGGCCTGCTTCTCTTCTTTGAGCTCAGTTCTAACGGTCGACATAGCAGGTACCAAATTAGCTTAGATGAAAGGAATAATTGTTGCAAACAAAACATACATATGTTTTGAAATCCCTTTAAAAAGTAAAGTAACTCTGTACGTACTTGCGGGAAAGCACATCAAGATTTTCAATGACATATTTTCAATAGGTCTTCAACCACTCCTTCTTGACTTTAGCCCCCTGAAGATTTGGAAATTGATGAAAGCTGAAACCATGCATAATGCACTGTACGGTAGCATGCAACCGACGGACCGTTTGACCATAACAATTATCCCGAACCTTGGTGCTTGCTATTTGGTATAGGCATTATAGAAACTGCCTATTTGACTTGGCTGCTTTGAAGGACATGAAAGTATTGGAGTTCCCCCTGTTTCGCTCTCCAACCAACTGGCTTCTTTCTGCAGTCAGGAACAAAATTCCAGGAGAATAGGGTGAAAAGCAGATCAAGTGTCATTTATAAATAGATCGAAAACTAGCAATGTAGCCAATCTTAGGATGAGGAAGGTAATTTCTCAGTTCTCGCGCCAACATATGGCTAAGTCACAAGCTGTGAGTGTTAAATATTCTCGCTCTCTTTTCCGCAAAACCCGCGTGAGTGATTGATGAATCATTCAACACACCACGTGTCAGGAAACACTGTGTCAAATATTGCGCCATGCTTTGGTATAGCCGCGGGATGTTGTGGATGTTTGAGTTTTGATTTAATCCCTACCGGGATAACCTCACAGGGCATCTGTGTATACATAAATAATTGTATAATGGACGAGGTTTTCATTTTGTAGTAGCCTCGTAGGCTTTCAGACAGAGACGTAATTACAACAACGGATTTGCGAAAAGAAGTATCAGAACGGTCCTTGAGTCACCCTAGACCCAGTAACCATCCGTCCATTCCTCTTGAGAGTTTCGAATATCGGTATACAACACAATTGACGGGTGGAATTTGCCATCCAAAACCGGAATAGCAGAAAATCATAGATGATAAAAAGTGTTTCTTTATCTCTTTCTCCTGGTTTTATACCGTATCAATGGGAAGGGGAGTTACCTGAAGGCACAGGCCAACACCTAGGTAATATCAGCACAGCCGTAACTGGGAGTGTAGGACAGAAATTCACATGGGGAACAAATGCTTTACCTCGAAGCGTCACGTATGACAGCAACAGAGACTGGCTGGCTGATATTATTGTGTTTCCGTCATGTGTGAGTGTTGCGTCCTAGTTTCTCTGTGAAATAGTGACCAGATTTTTTGGAGATATTCAGTGATCAGGAGAAGATCCCTAATCTTCCAGATGGTTATTCTAGTAAGAAGTGCCTGTGTTCTCCAGCTTGGGTTCAGAGAAGAAGGCCCTTATGACTAAGTAAAAAGGGGAGGATTCGTTTCCATGGAAGATGAACCTCAGTTTTGGTGTTCTGATCCGCGACTGGCACCATCGATTGAGTCTTTGGTATGTTTATAGTATGCAACAGTGCCCATCAGCTTTTGATATTCAACTATTGCGCGTTTTCTCACATTCCCCTAGTTCTTGTCAACTGTGAGAGTATTGACGAGTTTTGAGTGAGGTATTTCTAAAATATCGGCAAACTGAAGCTCTTGATAGCTATAAATCACAATCTTAGATTGATGGTGATATCATGATTGTTCAAACATCCTTGTCTTCATTGCTTTATAGTGACAAATTAGAACAGTCAACTTGTGCTAAAAGGCGCCAGCACAGGTCACAATTCGAGCTTGGCAAAAAATGCGAGGTCAGGTGGCGCTTTGGGAACGTCGGGTTTTTGATTCCTGAAGGGGCGCCACTTGAGTTCAGAGTAGTGGGACAAATCATGACCACTTTATAAACTCAGTTATTAAGTTAGTCAGTCAATTCTAATTGATTTGCAAGATTTGCAAGATTTGCAATTGAATTATTTATACAAATTTGTAAAATTACATTGCCACTCTCTTCATAGTTGTATTGATATGGTGAGTTGCACTAGTACTTTTGTGTATGTATGCACGGGCCACGGTTTGAGCTCGACAGAAATTGCAAAGACGAGTTGTAGGTCTGGAAAATGAGTCTCTGCACCGGCTACGGAGTAGAGATTTGTTATTTCCGTGGGTTGTCAAGCCTGGATCTCTTTGAACTCTGGTATTAGTATTGAGATTTCCATTTATATTTCTAGCATTGTGGAGGACTTACGCTCTACACCTCCGTCCAGAGTTCAACAACGATGGATCCACAGTTTGTCCCCAGAGTGTTCGTTAGCTGCAGCGAAGAGGATAGCTCGGTGCACGCCAAGCATCCTGATACGTGGCGGTGCTGATGTAGCTTCATGTCGGTCGGGTTGTTGGTGAGTTCAAGAGTGCGATGTGCAGCTTTTGTTTCGTGTCAGGCGGTGAGGGATCATTGGGGTTTTATTGATCTAAGACCATGTCATTGTCAATTGGGAAGGGTGGATGTACACTACTGATCATCAGAGATGTTCATTCCTATTGGCGGAACCAATGCTAATCCAGCCAGCAGAGTAGATAAAAAATTGTTGTTGTTGTTGTGATTATGAGGAGAAGGAGGAGGAGGAGATGATGTCAAGCTATAACTCCTCACAAGACAGACTTCTGCGCCATTGACCATGCCGAAACTCGAAAGTGGGGACTGAGCCTTGATGGGACACAAACAAGGCCCTTGCTTGCATGATGCATCATCCCTGGAGTCGCAGATGGGGCGATGTGGCATGCATGCAAATGAGGCTGTGCAAACCGGGGGGAATGAATAGCTGCCAATCACCGCCGTTCGCCCAAGGCAAGTGCTGGCTAGCAAGCAGCCACAGACGGTATTCGGAAGTGCTCTGAGTGGCCGGTCTGAGATGTGGTCTGTCTTCTGGGCCTGGGGTCATTTTGGTTGAATTCTCAGGGTTTTTCATCCATTGCCCGTGTCCATCGACAACTGAAAATGTAGCCAAAATACTTGTGCAAACACAGAAACTAGTAAAAAAGAAAAGAAAGAGAAGGAGGCAAGAATCCTCACAAGGAGACCAACAGGGGCAAATAATCCCGTAGCTATATCTCACTGTAATTATCCTCATTCCCTGCGACTATCCACATGTATCTTTCTTTCTTCACGTTATTCATTATTCCCCGCATCTTCTTTCTCTCCTCCGGGCTCGGGGTATCTCAGTCAGTGCAGCTGTTCGCCCTTTTTCGTCCTGCTATAAACCACAGTCATAGTCAGTTTCCACCGTCTTGTGCTTCCGGATTGAACTGCAACCACCAATTGCGTCCACATCCCCCACGTGCCAGGACCGACTTCTTGCCTAGGTAGTCCTTTGCATTGCATTCTATCTCCGCATCTGCCCTTCGTTTGTGTGTTGTGTATTTTGTGCCGTGTTTTAACTTTGATCAAGCGTGTTTCACCGTCTGTTGGTAGCCTCCCCCACTCATTGATGATGATTCAAGGGATGCGACAGGCGAAAGCACAAGATGGATCAAGTGCCTCATCGGAACTGCCCAGACGCTTCTCGTTCCCCTGGCATTTGCTGGAAAAGCACAAGGCTGGCTTGGCTAACTTGTGCTAGACGAAACCGTAACAGAAACAGGACCTCCTTGAGTCCTTTTCCCAGGTTCTCCTCCCCACGTCAGGCTGTTTTCCTTTCCTCCCACCCCCCCAAACTAGTTATCCTTCCCATCGCAGCCGAATTGCTCTGCCTGCCCAAGGTGGCCCCGCACTGACCATCATAATAATAATATCAGACGGAGACTGCTAGTACTGTATCGATCGCCGCGAAAGAAAGGCCAGGCAGAAAGGGGCGAATTCGCTGTCACTGGTCCCTGTCGTGCGAAGTCTATCCATCATCAGAGCCGGGAGAGGGCTACGCGGATATTTATTTCTTCGTTGCCCGGAAATTGGCTGCTGAGTGCTGTTGCTGTTGGATCTCCGACTTCAAATGGGTAAGCAACGGTCATTAAGTTACCTTCTATTTTTTTGGTCATCCATCCTTAGTCTGCCTTTGCCGGATTCTGGTCTCTCGGGTCCTGCTCCAACTTAATCACCGTCTCGCTTTGTTCTCCTCGGCTTGTCGATTTATTAAAACTCTGCATCTGCCCCTCCTCATATTGTCCGTTGATCTACTTGCCCAGATTGTGCTCCTCTTCACCCCCTTCTGTTTCCCCCTGCGATATTTCTCATCTTCTTTACCCCCTGTGGTTACTCCTCGCGAAACCGAACCTCGGGTATCTCTATGTTCACTGCCACATCGCCACCTCTAACCCAAAGCCTCCAGCCGTGGCTTGTTTCTGTCTCCTGCAGTTACTGCTTATAGCCAAATCATTAGAAGTGGCCTCTAAGTAGAGTAAAAGCTAACCTCGCCGCTTTCCGCCGTGTGTGGCTGGGGACTTCGTCTCCCTCCCGGCCACCTGCGATTGCGCTCTGCAATTTAATTCATAGCTGCCACTCGCATCGGCCAAGAATTCCGCCATTATACTCTCGGCCCTTTCCGCTCAAACACTGTCTCCATGCCGGGTTTCGACACCCAAGGCTCGGACGGCAACGGCTATCCCACTGAGCGCACAGGCCTCTTGGGCAATAATGCTCGGTCCCGCTCCCAATCCCGCCAACCGCCCCGTGGCCGTCTTTCTCGGCTCCTCTGGTCGCACGGCCACTACCATTGGGTTCGCTACCCGTCAGAAGCTGCGCGTTTGACATATGCGACCCTCGCAAGCAATTATGTCAATATCCTTCTCATCTTTGTACCCCTGGGCATGGTCTCAGGTAAAGTGGGCTGGTCCCCAACTGCCACCTTCGTCCTTAATTTCCTCGCGATTATCCCGCTGGCGTCGCTGTTGAGCTTTGCGACAGAGGAACTGGCTGCAACTATGGGCGAGACTCTGGGTGGATTGTTGAACGCTACATTTGGAAATGCCGTTGAACTTATCGTATGTGATAAGTGTAATCTGCACATCCCTATCCAATTTCCCTGTTTATGGTTACCTCCCTGTCCAGGAAAACGGTCCTCAACTTCTTACTGACAAAAACGAAATTCCTGCTGAATAGGTCAGCATAGTCGCCTTGAAGGATAACGAGATCCGTGTCGTCCAGGCAAGCATGCTAGGCAGCATTCTCTCCAACATTCTTTTGGTGCTGGGCTGCTGCTTCTTGGTTGGGGGCATCCGCCATCACGAGCAGACTTTCAACTCAACCGTGGCGTCTACCATGTCTTCCCTAATGGCAGTCGCATCTGCGTCACTGATCATCCCAGCTACTCTCTATGCCGCCCTCGCCAGTTCAAAGGCTGATACCCATGGCAACATTCTGCTCCTCTCACACGGCACCGCCATAATTCTGCTGATCCTCTACGTCATGTACCTCTACTTCCAGCTACGTTCACACACAGACCTCTTTGAGAGTGGTAGTGCGGAGAATGCCGACAATGGCACAGTATTGCGGAATGGTGAGACGCGGAACGGGGCAGGGGTTGAAGTAGTAGTGGGAGCAAGAGAGGAGGAAGAGACGCGCATCCTGAACCCATGGGCTGCAGCCATCGCACTCTGCATCGTCACAGTCGCCGTCTCCGTCTGCGCCGAGTTCCTCGTCGGTAGCATCGACAGCATTGTCCAGGCAACGCATATCAGTAAGACATTTATCGGTCTCATACTGATCCCTATCGTGGGTAATGCTGCGGAGCACGTCACAGCCATTGTGGTTGCATATAAGAATAAAATGGACCTGGCTATTGGCGTTGCCATTGGCAGCAGCCTGCAGATTGCGCTGTTTGTTACGCCCTTCTTGGTTATTCTTGGGTGGATTATGGGCAGGGATATGACGCTCCATTTCCACTCGTTTGAGACTGTGACATTCTTTTTGTCACAGCTTGTCGTGACATTGCTTATTCAGGATGGGAAGTCGAATTATCTGGAGGGGGGACTCTGCCTTGGGATGTACGTGCATTCTTCTATTTTCCCCCTTAGTTTTTTTTGTCCCTGCTATCTTGTTCAAGTTTTAATTTTTATTTTTTGAGCATCTGGATCTGAGCTAATGCGAAATCAGGTATATCATTATCGCCCTCGCTTTCTTTGTTTACCCCGACGATGCGCAGGATATCGGTGGTATTCTTGCCAGCATCGCCGGCCTCGCTACTAGATCCATCTCTTCCTAAGGTTACTATGTTCCCCCCACCTCCTTTTTTCCCCTCCTTTTTCTTCCTTGATGTGTTGGCCCTCGCTCAGTATTTAGCCCACTTTAACAACCCAGCCCAAGCCCAGCCAAGCCCAGCCGCGGTAGTTCCTATATTTTCCCCCTCGGCCCCCCTTTGCGTATATAATTTCATGGCTTACCGTATCACCCCACAAGGCCCCATCCTCTTTTTCCTCAATATGGGGTTTCTCCCTTTTCTTTTTTTTTTTTTTTTTCCTGCGCACGGTATCGCAGTATCACAAAGGAAAGAATTTTACGTATGATTCACTATCGGTTATGGATTTCTGCAGTTTTTTAACTTTCGACCTATACCCTCGTCTGCTCCTTTTGTCCCAATTCCCTTTAAAATCTCACTTCATCCGGATTGAAACAATGATTCTAGTATATTCGCACCTCTCATCTCGTGTCTTATTCGTTTTCTTTTTGCTTCTCACCCCCTTATTTCTCTTATCTTCTGCGTACACCTCCTGATCGCGCTGTCGATCATTACCTTATACTAACGGCAACAGCCAACACGAACAGCAATATTTTGTTCTCTCCCCCTCCATATGACTTCGACCGTGGCACCTCCTCCTGTTTTGAAAACCAAAATAAGCCCCTTGAACTGGCCATTTCACTCCCATTGTACGGGTTTATTCGCCCCACCCGCCCCACCCCTTTCCCCCTTTTTCTTTTCGGCGAATGCTGCGCATATATATTTATCTCTCTACTTTATTTGTTTTTGAAAACCTTACGGAGGTTTTTGTAGGACCGATCATACGAGATACTTTCTGCCAGGTAGCTTCTGCCGGCCTTTTCTCCTTTGATTTTGTTTCACACGATTTTGTTATGGGCCTTATATCCGAGTCTTTTTCGATATGTATTTCTGTATTCTATGTCTCTGTCTGCTGGGGTTGGGGGAATTGGGGAGGATCTAAGGGGGTGTGTGTGGGTACTAAATGTATGTGTCCTGATTAGGGATATTAGTTATTATCCCTCTCAATCAATATCCCGGCAGTTGCTACATTCTTTCCTCGCTGTTGAACGGGCCTCTTTTCTTATTCTGCCGAGCTTGAGAAACGGAAGGCGAGACTTAAATTGGAAAATGTACTTAAATAGATACACTTGCCGATACCGATATCCGCCCGAATAAAATATCATGGATACTCACGGCCGTGGGCTTTCTTCCCCTCTTTCCTATCTCGGCTTGCATGGCTCCATGTAATTACTCACGTGATATGTGTCTTAGCGCCTATACCAAACCTTCCAAGTTCCAAGGTTACCGACCTTCTTGTTAAACCCGCGACATGTCCCCGCAAGCACAGGAAAAGGGCCCGTTTCAATTGCATTTCGCCTTTTGTTCCTGGACTGCATCTGCGGGCAAGTAGTGATTTCGGGGGGTGACATAGAGCTACCGCCGTCGATTATAGGGCTTGCTAGCTTCCCTTTTTTTTTTTTTTTTTCAATTCCTTTTCTCGTCGTTTCCCCTGCGTGTCCAAGTGTTTTCCCATTTCAGGTTTTTCCAAAAATTGAGGACCTCTCTTCTACGGCAACGGCAACGGAATCGAAAATAGATCAGTCTAAATTCATTGTGTCAACTGTCCTATTTTTATTCGCCTTGAACACCCGAGTCACACCAGACAGACACCAACCAACTTCGAAAGAAGTAGACCTGCGAAACAGGGAAAAGATCCCACCCCTAAAAAAAAAAAAACGAGAGAAGGATATAAAGCGAAAGGGATACAGGGCACAAGGAACCGTAACCATGCCGCCACGCCTTAACCTCTTACCCACAGCCATCACCGCCTGCCAATCCCAAGCCTTCCTCCCGTACTCCTCTCTGCTCCGCCAATCCACTGCGTCCCAACAATGTACCGCGTCTAGATCGCCGCCGTCGTTATCTAGAAGCCACGACAGGGCCATCCGCGCCCTTTCAACCAAGAGGGACCTCCTACTCCGCCAGCGCGGTGGTGCGGTACTAGCACACCGGCCCTGTGTTTCGTTTTCGCAGCGCCGGATGGAGTCTTCGTCTTCGAAAGCTGGCGCTGGGATAGGTGAGGGGAAGGCGGGGAGGATTGCTGATGAGAAGATTGAGGCTGTGAAGGGATCAGAATCGGAAGCGGCGAAGGAGGGGCTAGGCAGTGTTAGTGAGGAGGCTGCGGAGTTGGCAAGGATTATGGAGCGGAGGACGGAGTGCGGGGAGGTGGGCGAGCCGGAGTTGTCACAGGGTAGTATGGTTGGGGATGTATGTTGATTGCTGTTCCTGTTCCTATTTTGGTTTTATTGGATTTCCGTTTCATATTTCCCTAATTTTCTTTTTAAAAGCGTACGATTTACTAACTGATATTTTAATAGATCTTGAAGCGGGATAAGGATGCATTGAAAAATGCACCCAAAGTTCTGCGGGACCAACTCAGCTCCTCTTCATCGTCCTCGTCCTCCGGCTCCAGGTCCTTTTCCACATCTGCTAGGTCGAGACAGGTCGATATGAACCAGATATCATCGGCGGATGAGAACGATGCGTTGATCGCCGCTGCCACCGAGCAGAAGTATGATCAAGCAAGGCGTGAAGGCCTCAAATTCGATGTGCCCGAAACACTACCCAGATCTGAGCATCTGAAACACCGCTATGACCCATTATTAGACCAGTTTACAAAAATGCTCATGAGGCATGGAAAATTGAGTGCAGCGCAGAAGGTCAGTTTTCGCGTATCCCATATATGAAGGTTAACTAACAACAACAGCAAATGGATGCAATCCTCCACAACCTGCGTTCCGCCCCAGCGCCCAACATAGACCCGTCACGCCCCTTACTCCCCGGGCCCCCGAGCCCCCAACTCCCTCTAAACCCAATCCTCTACCTAACCCTGGTCGTTGACTCCGTGGCGCCACTGCTCCGCATCAAGCAACAGCCTGGCGCGGCAGGAGGTGGCCGCTCGCTCCCCATCCCTCTCCCGCTGGCGCTCCGCCAACGCCGGCGCACAGCTATTAAGTGGATTATTGATGCGTCTGAGAAACGGAAGGATGCTGCGTTGGCGAATCGGGTGGCGCAGGAGATTATTGCGGTGGCGGAGGGGAAGAGTTCGGTGTGGGATAAGAGGGGGGTGGTTCATAAGCAAGGCACCGCGTCGAGGGCGAATATAAAGGCGTTGGGTATGAAGGGGAGGAAGAAGTTTTAGTTAGATGTAATGTTTGTAGAACTCCTTTGTTTGTTTGTTTTGGTTTTTGAGGTGATGGTGGTTACTGTATGCCTGTATACTATACAATATGCTATGTGAGAATGGTGATTTCTTTCTTTCTTTCTTACCTTGTCGTTGTTCAAGACTTTTTGTTTAATTTATTTTTATTTTTATTATTTTCATTTCCCCATAGAAGAAAAAATACCGAATGTCTGTTCATTCATGATTTATTCGCTTTCTCGTCGTCTCCCCCACTTCCTACGATTACGTTTAGATCCAGAGAGCAGATATCCATACCGCCCAACCGGCTCAGGGCTAGCGTAAACCCCGATGCTCATTGCTTAGATATAAAAAAACGGAGAGGGTAATGGGGAGACTCTACTTCGAAGAGAGTTCATATGCATGATTCCGAAATAAAGATCGATGGGTGGATATCCACGGGAAAGTATTTGCTAGCACTCCAGATCAGTCTCTTCTGGATACATTGAGATTTGTGGAATCTGGGGTGTGGAATCCGACATTTTGGCATCTGGTATCTTGGGACAATCCGTGGTTAGCATACAATGTTGTCAGTTGGAATGTGTCAGATAGGCCTGCATCAGTGCTTTCACCGAGTGCCCTGAACTCAAGCATTGTAAATAAGTGTATAAAATAAAGCCTCTTGTACTCGTTGAATGACATTAGCTGCGCATTAAACATCCACTTGACAGAATCTAAATGCGTAGTGAGCTCATCATCACCAGAAATCAACAAGTATACGCAGCTTTTGCTTAGTAGACGAATCTTGTATCACTAACACAGAAATATCACCCGGCAAATAATAAATCAAGCTGAATCAGTTCCATGGATCAATGATCGCCGCGGCTGACTCAGGCAGGCAGGCTCTCAGCCGCATCTAGCCCTGAACGACGCCTACTTCAACCTTCCTCCTCCCAATCCTCTTGGTCTTCTTCCCTCTTTTCTTTTCTCACCTTTCCCTCCTTTTCTCCACCGGGCGATAAGACCGAGCTTATTGTCCACTATAACTCCTGCCCGCTGAGGGCCTGTCCCTAAACCCCCCCAACATATCGCCATGGCGGCAACAATTCCTGCATCGTCTGCACCCACCCAATCATGCCCCCCATTCTTCCAACCCTCCCGCCTCTTCGTTCTCTTCCAGCCGCCATAACCCCTCTCTTTCTCTCGAACGGCGCGATACTAGCAACTCCAATATCAATGCTGCGCCGTCGGGGCTTCATGTGTGCGATTTCGATGCATCTCTCTATTCACAAAACCAATACCAGTCCTTACCGCCATTTACTGCTTCTTCCGTTCCTACTGCTCCTCCTGCAACTTCAAATTTGCCTTCTGCTTCTTCGCCCTCTCTCGGGTCTATTCATTCTTCGACTTCTGCTCGGGAGCTATCTTCACCACTCGCTTGTCCCAGGTACCAACAAAAACATGATATTTCAAATCAGTTGAGCGGGGTTGATGATATTTCCCCTGTCAATTACCATCTGTCCCCGGACTCTCTATTCCCCTTATCTACAGAGGGATCTGTTTCTCATGCACCAAATGCTACCACCGCTACGATTGCTCCCACATCACCCTGGCTTGATTTGCTTGAGCTTAACCATAATAATCTCGGCCGGGGTGACCAGTCGCTAAGCTCCTCGTTATTGTTGCCATCCGGGATTGATTTGCAAGCTAAGGCTGCATCGACCTTGTCGAATCCACCCTCTGATTCGCCTGTTCCTGCTGCTCTTGCTGAATGCAGTTTACTGTACCCAGATTCTAAAGGGAATGCGCTAGATATTGATGAATCACTTTTTTCAACTTTGCAAGGTGGGTTGACCATTATTTTTCCCCTGGTGAAATTGTGGTTGTGTACCTGTTTCTCCACTAGGATAATTCCGATACGCAAACAAGGACATTCCATTTTAATACGCTAAACTTTTCAGATGCCTTCGCGATGCAAATTCCACCAGACACACAAATTTGTCTACCAGACTTTAACCATCCGTCGAATACCGCCCAACAGTATTATCTTCCTACTTCCCAAAGCATTCACAACCAAGACATCAATCATCTGCAACACCTTGAATCGCATGTTGCCATCCCATCACAATCCCATTCACAAGTCCCAACTCAACATGTCCAAGAATACCATTCTTCTCCTCAATCACCAGCTCCAATCACAAGAGCCGGCCCAGACCCTACCACCAACTCTCGGCAATCGTCCCCTTTATCAACACGAACAAGACGTTCTCCTACAGCGGTGACTACGACAACGCCAGCGGACCATGTTGCTGACAAGCGTCGACGCAACACCCTTGCTGCCCGCCGCTTCCGCCAAAAGCAACATGATCGTGTTGCGGAGCTAGAGCGTGCGCTGGAGAGCGTATGCAAGGAAAGGGATGAGTTGAAGATGCAGGCTGCCAGATGGGAAGGAGAGGTTGTTGCCTTGAGGGGAATGTTGAGGAGGAGAAATTTTAAGGACTAAGTGAATCTTGTTCTGTTTTGCTTGATGGACTTTTTGGCCGTTGATTTTCTTTCCCGGATGGAAAGACAAGGAATTGGTGAGTATGGATTTTTTTTTTTTTTACCAACGCTTGGGTTGCGTTTCGAGTCATTTAATTCTGGTTCTGGTACTCGTTAGTGGTTTGTTGTGGGAGTTGTGTCTCTTGCTGCAGTCTAATTTCGAAAAAGAGGAAAAATGCAATTGATAAATTGATTCACTTTTGTTTTTTCGTCGTTGTTCCTTTTCTCAAGGTTCCGCCGTTTTTTCGGTCTTCGGGTACATGTTATATATGTCCTTTATTTATCCTTTTTATTCTTTCTTCAATCCAACGCGGATGGAAAAACCGGGATTTTTGTCCTATCCCACTATCTATTAGCACGTTCCCTTGAATGAGAAAAGGAGAAGAAGAATTGCCAAACGCCAACGATATAGGGAAAGAAAGAATTGAATATGCCAATCAGACGATGTCGGCTCTCCAGAATCTCGAAAAAAGGCTGTCTTCCTATGTCTCCTTTTTTCGAAATACCTCACGCTCATTTTTATATGTTTTTTTTTCCCTGAGTTTGGCAGATGGAGAAAATTTGTGTCATCATTTCATTTCCAGCTTTCAATTTCGTTGGAAAGGGGCAACCAGATTGGCGAGCAAGCAGATTAACCCGTTTTTATAACGGGGGGTGGAGCATGACAAGGGAGCAAAGGCATACAGGAAAGGAGTTGGATCTGGACAACAACGGAGGCGAAAAGACACAAGGAAAAAAACTTAACTGTCAATTCATTCCTCATTCTTCGTCTCAATTTAATCCAGCCTCGCGATCAGAACGAACACGATGTGATGTTCTCCCTTTCTTTCCACATCTGCCGTCTATCCGGTATCCTCTTGTGCTCAGGAGAGCCTAGGAACTGTCTTCGAGGTGGGTTTTTTTGCCCCTTCAATGGGCCCCATTTACTGATGATAGGGTAGTAATTCTAAGCCGTCGCGATGATGGGCTTTTTATGTTCATTGTATAAGAACGAGGAAGATGGATATAATATATCCTTTCAATCTAGAATTTAACGTCTGTTGATACTATTATTACTCTATAGCTATAATAGAATCACTATTACTAAAATACAGGGGGACATATTACTCCAATACCTTCCTTCTATTTAATGAAAGTACGGTAGCCTCGTCCATACGGAATTCCCTCTCCCTTTCGCCCTTTCTGCCGGAATGGGATCGATGCTTCACTGTAGTTTGCGAAACGCGCGAGAAACTCTGAGCTAATTGATTGGTGGTGATTATTCATAGAGTTATCAGAGTACATAATTTTGTATGTGGGATGAGTATTGGATGATGCGGTATGAGTCATAATGAACAAGCCTGATGGGTTAGGGGACGTTACCAGTATGCAGGATCATACAGCCTTGTGGATGGATAACGACGTAGAATAAAGGTACTGTTTTATTTCTCTTTACCTTCTCGGGGATTTGCTGGATCTTCTACCACATTTACTGCGGAAGGGAGATGAAAGATGAAATGGTGACCAGCAAGAGGGGATTTCTTCCGCCTTGTCCACTCCATTAACAGGGTTAAGAGTGTTATCTCCACTCCATTGATCAAGGTGCTGTACATGCGATTGATCATCAAATCCCCTCTACTTTTCACTCAGCCTGCATCGTAAATCTTTGATTCAACGAGAATACTTATTTGGAAGTATAGAAGAGGATTCTTTACGTTGAACTAAGCAACATTTTCAACCCTCCTTCACCCCCATGAGATCGTCTCGTGGTTTGTTTCTCTCGCTCTTTCTTCCTCTCCCCTGATGCAGGCCATTATTGCAATCCTCTCTGGGAATCCCTGGGGAAATGCATGCATATACTGGCATGCAAACCAATGCACAGAAGCCTGGAGAACACAAAGGGAGTGTCTAGTCTATCTGCAAAATGATGCTGGCTTTGTCGCATTTTTCCCGCCTAGAATCCATTGTTCTCTTCATTTTAAACTTTTCTGAATCTTGGGCCAAGCAGATAATCTCTGCATAACATCCTCTGGATCTTCATTGAGAACACAATAGAAGCATTGTGGATTCAATTCCTGTTCATATTATTCTCCTCAGATGTTGAAAACATCCCCAGATGCTCGTCGCTTTATCCTCCCCTGGCTGAGACATCGATCGGCGCGATAGTATCAGCTTCAAACGGCCAGCCGAGCAGCGAATAAACCGCCAATTGTGCGGGGAGGGCTTAGCTGAAGCCCGGTCAGTGATCCATGGAGTTTGTTCTATCTTGTGCCAAATAGGAATCTGACTGTGGCGTCGATCAGCGCCACGACGGCTATCATCCGCTGATCAACCCACAGAGTGAGGAACCCTTTTGGGAGAAACCCATTGGATCAATGCATCTCCGAGATCATATTCCGCTTCGCAATTGCCTCAATTGCAAAGAGTATTGGCAAGCATCTCGAACAGAGACAAATGCTTTCCCCCTTTCCACGGACGGACGAAAGAAAGAAGGGGGGGAAATATGAAAAGAACAAGAAACCTACAAGTACTGGTTTCCGAAGATATTTAGGCGATTTGCATATACAAAGGAGTTGTCCACGGCATGGATTCCCAAGTTCGTACCTGGGTACCGGCCGTCTGTGCTGGGCGGCTAACAGCTTGCACACGGCTCGGTAGGTAGCATGGAATGTGCGAAGGACGGGCAAAGATGTCACGGGCTGGTCAAGCTCAACCAGCAATTGTTGCGGAACAAGCCCGCTTATTTCCATATCTGCAGCAACAACTGACCGGGAGATTGGGAAACCAACCAGCCCATCCCATCACTATCTCAAAGATTGGGGCAAAAATGCAGAGTTTAAATGCATGCTTGCATCCGACTGGAGTGTGACTGTCGATCTCTCCCGTTACTCACTTTTTTTTACTTTACTCACCTTCCAGCCTGTGACAAAACTGCTCCAAACCGGCACTTAAATACCACATACCTCGTCACAGATCACATTCTTTTCCTTCTGGTTAACTTGTTCAAACAATTGTTTAGCATTTAGCATACTCAAACGCAAGAGATAATAGGCATTGTCGAAACTCTTACGGGGCGGGCATCTTCATAAATATATTCCAACACCCACCCCCACCCCGTCACACACGAAACCTCAAGTACGGGAGGGATGATTTGCGACATTGATCTAATCTGATTCAAATCTCGACTTAGTGTGCCAACATCATGGCGATCCAATCGGTGGCAGTTTTCCGCCTTGCATTATTGTTCGCATTTATGCAATTGGCTGTCGCGAGTATACGTGTGGATGTGTGTATGCTTTCCTCTTTAAGTTTTTAAAGGTTGTGGTTAGGGGGGGGAAGGAGCTCTAGCATCTTCCCTTTATTGGTTTAACATCACCAAATAATACAATTGAGCTATATATTCATTTGTTAAACCGTCCCACCTCCCACACTTGACGGCGCAATCCAACTAATCAATTTCAATCGATCAGTGGCAAGACCCCCTTTCGATCCCCAGACCAGAAACTGATGACGCCGACCTGAAGGCTCGCTACCCAGTCCATAAATTCAAAACCCTCATAGACCACTTTCCCTCTGATCCGCGTTACGAACCACACACGGGGGAGAAATTCGACCTGCGCTACTGGTTTGATGCCAGTCACTACAAGAAGGGTGGGCCGGTAATCGTGTTACACGGCGGCGAGGCGAATGGCGAAGGTCGCCTCCCATTCCTGCAAAAGGGCATTGTGAAAATACTCAGTGAAGCAACTCATGGCCTTGGCGTCATTCTGGAACATCGCTACTATGGCCAGAGCTTCCCGACGGCGAACCTGTCGACTGAGAGCTTGCGATTCCTGACCACTGAGCAAGCACTGGCAGATTCGGCCGATTTTGCGCAGAATGTTGTGTTTGAGGGGTTTGAGGATGTAGATTTGACGGCAAAGGGAGGGAATGCGCCTTGGATTGCATATGGAGGGTCGTATGCAGGAGCACAGGTGGTACGTTCTTCCTCCTCTTTTCTTTTCTTTTCTTTTTCTTTTCGGTCCCTTATCTGTTTAGCTATTTGAGGGGGAGGCAATAGCTCTGGATGGTTTGCGCCACCTTCTTTAACCAGACACTGAATTGTGCCCAGGCATTCCTCCGCGCCCAGTATCCTGATATCTTCTGGGGGGCTATCTCATCGTCCGGTGTAACCAAAGCCATCTACGACTACTGGGAATATTTCGAACCTGTCCGAAAATATGGTCCGCCAGAATGTGTCTCCACCACGCAGAAATTCGTGGACATGGTTGATACAATCATAATCGGCCTCAGCGACCCAAAGAAAACGAAGAGACTGAAAAGTTTCTTCGGTCTGGAAGGGCTGACGCATAATGATGACTTTGCGAATGTCCTTGCGTGGGGTATCAGCTATTGGCAGTCTGTCAACTGGGACCCGAAAATTTCAACACGCAAGTTCGACTACTACTGCGGCAATATCACGGCAGATGAGTTGTTGTATGGAAATGGTGATTTGAAGGATGAGGCGGAGGAGCTCCTTATTGCAGGGGGTTATGGAAAGGAAGTAGGGACTCTGGCGAATCGGCTTCTTAATTTCGCCGGCTTTTTACATCACGATCAACTGGTCTATTGCAAGGAGACTGAACAGACAATGGATGAATGTCTTGGGCAACATGATATGGCGTGGTTTAAGAATGATAGCCTTGCACAGGCTGATAATCGGTGCTGGCCATATCAGGTGTGCACGGAGTAAGTGAAACCCCGGCCCGCACTTCTTGGAGATTTTCTGGATCAGATGCGAGAAAAGGAACGAAACCAGGTAGAACCCTGGATTTAATATCTGGGTACCCAGACTGACTCTATTTTGATCTACTTCCTTGCTCATAGATGGGGCTTCCTCCAGGTCGGCAGCACGGTCCCCCAGGATCAAATGCCCATGGTCTCACGCCTGATCGACCTCGAGTACGCCAGCATAATGTGCCGAGAAGCTTTTGGTATCTACAGACCTTCGGACGTTAATAGAGTCAACAAATATGGCGGGTTCGACATTGAATATGAGCGGCTGGCATTCATTGACGGGGAAGTCGACCCCTGGCGCCCAGCAACACCTCATTCCGAAATGGCTAGGCCACGGAAAAGCACGCTCGAAAAGCCGTTTATTTTGATCGAGGGGGCTGGACATCATTGTGAGTTATGCTTTCCACGTCCTGTTTCTGTTTTGAGTTTCTTTAGGATCGCTGCTGATGAGAACTGCTCGATGTTTGAAGGGGATGAGAATGGAATGCTTGCGAATGAAAGCACACCAATGCTCCCTCCCAAGGCCGTAGCAGACGCACAGGCACAGGAAGTCAAATTTGTGAAGAAGTGGATGAAGGGTGAGTTTTAAGATTCCAGAAATCAAGATTCCAGAAATCCCATGATCGTTCTTTGTCCAACCAGCCTTTTGGCATCTGGAGGCCTCTGCAAGTATGAATATGGAATGGACTCCACTGACAGAATATTTCCTTTAGACTGGGAACAGGAGTTGCGGCAAAGATTAACTAATAAGCAAACGATGATCTCCCACGGGGACTGAAGATAAGAGGGATATGGTTCCTGAGGATATATGCAGTTTATTTTATTTTTTTGGAGGTAAATATTAATGTTAATGGATCATCTGTAACCACGAATTGGCACCGAAGTACGTCGTAGTTGCTCCGGGTATCATATATTTCTGCCCGTGCTCCACCCATATTCTCTGTAATCCTAGGGCTACCCCCACTTTGAAATCGTCGAAATAGTATGTGCCTGTCTGTCAAGTGGACTGTCGGTCAGCTGAAGCCTGGTAATGACAGAGTTCTTATGACATCCGTCGGGTCTCACACGATTTATTCGGGTACGAGCATTCTCGAGTCATCTGCCCTTGCAGCATCTTCCAAGCCTCAAACCGTAGCATCGGCATAAGGAAACGAATGCCGGACACATATCCCATCGCGTTCTTGGCCATTACGTCCTAGCAGCGCAGGGAGATGTCTAGCGATGCGGGTGACCTGTCACACTCCGCATCAGGCACAATTCCAGATTCCATGAACCTGGAACCGAGGCGATCTGAGCTCTTCAACAATTGTGGGATAAACTCATGATGCTGGTCCAGATCGTTTTGGGGGAACGAGCTTCGCGCTTTGTTCTAGACAACGGGCCAATCGATTCCCCGTATTGCGGCACGGGAATGCGGATATGCCGTTGACAAGAGGCCAGATCCAGGGCACTTGCTGTGGGGACAGAAAAAGAAAAGAAAACAAAAAGAAAAAGAAAAGAAAAACAGGAAAGGGATCGATGGTGATTCGTTGATGGCGGGGGAGCGCTGAATGTGATTTTTTATTTTCAAGAAGCTGGTGGTCAGTTTTTGCCGAACGATGGTAACTGGTGAGGTCTCGGACTGCGTTACCAGTGTGGGCAAGGCTTTATTATGATTGCTGTTACTGTTGTTGTATTCGTTGTCACCAATGTCATTTGCCAGGGAATGCATTTGCCTCTTCGTTTGTTGATGAATGTCGACTTCGGGAGCAAGTGTTTCTAATCCCTGAGCTGGTGTTTGTCGCCAAATCTTAGTGCCGGTGTTTTTCGTCTCTCGTTTCTCTTTGGCATCGCGATAACATTAAACAGCGGAAAAGTCGAAGAAATCATGTGAAGAAGTTACTGGACAGACAAACGAACAAGGTAGATATAGATAGATACTGTAACTGGTTAAGGGGGACAAACCTTCCGGCAATACGGTTTCGTGATCGATCCCACGACTACGACGAGTCCAGCACCCGAGTCCCCAACCAGCCAAGGCTTACCAGGCATCCCGACATTTATACTTCCAGACAGACTGCTTTTTCTTGTCGCCTTTCTACAACGGTTGGCCGTATACACCGTCGCCCTGGCTGGCACACAGAGAACCCGGAGCATTGAGCTGGTCACATTCGATCATCCTTCCCCCTCCGCAAACGGTTTACAGTCACCCCCACGCTACCCTCGCCCTGACAGGTTAGGGTCCGCAAAGGAAGACAAAAGAGGAGGAAGAGGTGGATCGGATCCTGCTTCTTCAACAACTAGTTCTGCTGCTCCTAGAGGCTGGTGGAAAAGCGTAGAGGATCATTTTTCTCGGCCTGACGGAGTTGCGGACAGAAAGAAGCCATCTCCGGAGGGAAGAGTACATAAATGGGAAGCGCGGCGGGATACTGGAGACGATCACTATTCTGAGACGGGGGGTACTGTGAGCCTTAGGAATAGGAATAGGAATACCAGACGGCGCCGTTGGGGGACCCAGACAAGGGACGACGACGACATTATGAAGTTCTCCCACAGCATCCAGTTCAATGCTGTACCGGATTGGAGCAACTATTATATTGCATATAGCAATCTGAAGAAACTGTGAGCTTCCGCCTTGTCCCACCGATGATTTTCCATGTGCTATGATACCCTATGATATTCCTATTTGAAGCTGTTGTGCTAGCGTTTTTGTAAGATTTAATTTTGTTTACTCCTTGCTAATAAATGTACTTAACCTGTTGGTTGATACAGGATATACTCGCTCGAAAGGCAGGTCAACCGTCTCGACGATACTGGCGAAACTGTCGAGTCTGCCCCCCTCCTCGACACTTCGGTAGACACTGATGCTGTGTTTCGCCGTGCTCTTGACGGCGAGCTAGAGAAGATATGCTCTTTCTTCCATCCCACCGAGGCCGAGCTTTACGAAGAGGTCGAGAATGTTGTCAAAGATGAGGAAACGTATATGCAAGAAACAAAGGGGTTGAATATGGATTCGGTCGGGGACACAGTGGTCCGAACTCGAACATTGAGTTTCAATTCTCCTCGTCGTGGAGCTGCTTTCAGCAATTCTGGTTTCGGAGCCCAGGGCGGGGACGAACCAAGATATACGCGTGCTAGCAAAACCAGAGAAACCGCGGTTGGCGAAGTCGCTACTAAGAATCAGGATGTCAATACCGATGATGATGAGATGGATATCGATGAACCCCAAGATCAGGCCGGACGTCGTCGCCCGCTCCGGAAGGACAACCCCAAGCATGTGGCTGGTGAACTGCTAGACCGTTCTGTGAGCAATATGAGCGAGTTGAGAACTCCGATCGGTGGCCCTGATACGGATCACGATTCTACTCTTGATCCCAACTATTCCGCCTTATATAATTCTGGCATATCGCTGAAGAAGCGCATCATTAGCATATATGTTTCTCTTTGCGACCTCAAGTCGTTCATCCAACTCAATCGAACGGGCTTCACGAAGGCATTGAAAAAATATGATAAAACCCTCGATCGCAGCCTTAGGCGTCAGTATATGAACACTATCGTCTTAACCGCCTATCCATTTACGAATCCCACAATGGAGCTGCTCAATGGCCGTATTTCTAGAATTGAGAAGCTCTATGCAGAGCTCGTCGCGAAGGGTGACCTCGCGCTTTCCAAGCGGGAATTGAGATTACATCTTAGAGAACATGTTGTGTGGGAACGGAACACTGTGTGGCGGGAAATGATTGGTATCGAACGCAAATCACAGGCAGCGAATATGGGCGTACGACGGACGCTCCTTGCAGGGGACCAGGATCCTCTGACTGCACAAAGACAGGGTGATGAGCAAGAGCCTACCAGCAAGGAAATTATGACTCCCGTAGGACGATGTCCCGTCCCAACGTGGCTACTTAGCTCTACTTTTTTCATGCTGGTAGCCATCGTGATTATCTTCTGCGTTATGCTGGTGCTTCCGATTATGTCGAAGCCAGAGCAACAGAATTGCCTAGCCATGTTGGTTTTTGTCAGTTTACTCTGGTCCACAGAGGTAAGTTTCACTATTGCTTACAACCACGGCTTTGGGTACATTTGCTGATAAAATTATATTATCAATATAGGTGATCCCACTTTTCGTCACATCATTGCTTGTCCCCTTCCTTGTGGTCACTCTCCGCATTATGCGAACCGAAGAGAAACCCTACCGGCGCCTAAGCTCAAGAGAAGCAACCGGAGCTGCTTTCGCGGCGATGTGGACGCCCGTCATTATGCTCTTGCTTGGCGGCTTTACTATTGCTGCTGCTTTGTCGAAATATGACATTGCCCGGAGGATGGCAACATTTGTCTTGAGTAAAGCGGGAACGAAACCACGAATTGTTTTGGTCACAAACATGTTTGTCAGTATGATATTGAGTATGTTCATTAGCAATGTAGCGGCTCCGGTTTTGTGTTTTTCCATCATCCAGGTTCGTTGTTTCCCAAGTATTCCCCCAACCAAAAGACAAGCTCGGATTGTCCGATTGATTAACGGCGCCTAATAAATGAATCAACAGCCAATGCTCCGAAACCTCCCCACAGACTCCCGGTTCTCTAAAGCCCTTATCCTGGGCATCGCCCTAGCCTCTAACGTCGGCGGCGCCGCATCCCCTATCGCATCCCCGCAGAACATCATCGCCCTCCAAAACATGAACCCAGCCATAAGTTGGGGGACCTGGTTCTTCATTGCCCTACCCGTTTGCATCATTTGCATCATCGGAATCTGGATTCTTCTTCTCGTCACTTTCCATCCGGGTCGTGGCACTACAATCGTCCCCATTCGACCAGTCAAGGACAAATTCTCTGGTGTGCAATGGTTCATCACCCTCGTGACCCTCTTCACTATCATCCTCTGGTGCGTCAGCCACGAGCTCGAAACTACTCTGGGTGACATGGGCGTTATCGCCATTATCCCGCTGGTGTTATTCTTCGGCACGGGAATCCTCACCAAGGAAGACTTCAACAACTTTCTCTGGACCATCATCATCCTCGCCTCGGGCGGCCTCTGTCTGGGACACGCTGTCACTTCGTCAGGCCTCTTGCATACTATTGCCAAAGCTATCACGGAGCGTGTGGGGGATTTCAGCCTGTATGGTGTCCTCATATCATTCACAGGCCTCATCTTAGTTGTGGCTACATTCATCTCGCATACCGTTGCAGCCCTGATTATGCTCCCACTTGTCCAGCAGGTGGGCGCAAGCATGAATCAGCCCCACCCGAATCTGCTGGTTATGGGTAGTGCCCTGATGTGCTCCGTTGCCATGGGTTTGCCGACCAGCGGGTTTCCAAATATGAGTGAGTAAACCACTTATTGAAACGCAAATTTAGTTCTTGGCATTCGCTCATCACATCTCTTTCCTGTCTATAGCTGCTATTATGATGGAAGTCCCCGAAACCGGCCAACGATATCTCCGTGTCCGCCACTTCATCACTCGCGGTGTTCCGGCGAGTATTTTGTCATATGGTGTGGTGGTGACTGTGGGCTATGGGCTGATGATTGTTGCGGGTCTGTAAATTCTGTGCGGCGGTTGTGAGTGTTTTTTTCGACTCCTTCAACTTATCAACCTCCATTAGATTTGCTGCTTTATCCACTTGCATAGTTCAGTTTGGATGCTTTTTCTTTCGCATCAAGGTACGGACACGCTGTCTCTGATAAGCATTTTTTTCCATACTCTGTTACCTTTATTTATTTGCCACTGCGATATGCGATTTGGTGGGCGGTTTGAATGAGTTAACTGAAGGAATCAACATGGCGTTTTAGTACCCTGTTCATTTTGTTTATCTCATTTTGTTTTGTTCACGCACCTTTTACCTCATATACTTCTCTTCTACTTCTTTCACCTTTATTTTGAAAATAGTTTATACCTTATAGTATAAATGGATCTGCCGCGTGTTGCAAGTCTAATATCCGTAGGCGTGAATTAATAAACAAGACAGCGGAATCTAACTGAAGATGTCATGTCATCCATTGATATCAATTTTATTAATAGCTTCAAGAAGAAGAAAAGCCATAACAAAAGACTACGTAGTTTGCAAAAAAAAAAAAAAAAAAAAAAAAAAAAAAAAGTCCAACCCAAAGAAAGAATCAAATACCGACTCTTTAGCTAGTCAGCTAAAAATACTCGAAGTCTATCTCAAAGAAATCTCCCGAAATTTCCATAAAATCTGCAAAAATCAGAGAACCATCAACGGCAAAACCAGAACAAACAAAGCCCCTAAGAAGAGCAGAGGTGCTTTTGGGCCAGTGGCAGCCGTGGATATTCCACCTCCTCCTTGCTTAGGGTTATCCTTGAATTTGAACTTCTTCTTCTTGGTGGACGTCTTTCTATCTGTCGAACCCTTTTCATTCTCCTTGTCCTTATCCTTCCCATTTTCGGGTTTGCCTTTCGGTTTCTTATCTGGGGAAATAGAGTAGAAAACGTTAGCTTCAAACTGGTACTTATAGAAAACGCCTCCAAGGGTAAAATGGAGCTGGGGTTGCGGAGATGATAAAGAGGGAAGAAAGAGAAAGGAAAGGGAACGCAAAAGAAGAAAAAGAAAGGAATGGAAGAAGTAAATAGAAGTACATGGAGTGGGCAATACGAATTAACATGTCAAAAATTAATGTTATGCAAGAAAGGGAGACTCAAAGGTTCAAGGGAATGGAAACAACCAAGCCCATCATCAGGCGCATCACAAATTGCCGAATCAGCCTGGACCATAATGTTTACTGGGTTGAATTACCTTTATCTCCCTCCATTTTCTTGAGAGGATCAAATATGTCCTTAAGCTTCGCAAGACCACGAGCAGAAACATCCGAAACCGGACGTGCTATGACAAATGGAGTCTTATTGTCGAAGCCATGCTAGTATTAGTAATGGAGAATAGTGATCTCAATCCAGTGGAGACTACATATATGCTCTATATAAATATCATTCTATTTGAAAGCCAGCGGACAAACCTCCATGGTTGATTTGATCAGATTAGCTCCTGTTAACTGGGAGCCTATGGGTATAGAGATCGACCGCACTGCGGCAAATGCTGCGAGAAGGGTGAGGCATAGAGTGACGACCTTCATCTCAGTTGTCCGATGGAGAGTTCGCATGAATCTATGAGGAGTTCGAGGCTCGAGCCTCAGGGAATAAGAACTTGGTGTCGGCCAGAATAGGGAGAGAAGATGAAGTCGTGGGAAAGTTGAAGCCGTAGGTAGAAAGAAGGAAAGACAAAACAGTCTAGCCCTCGTGCTTATTTTTATAAGCATGACTGGAAGGCTTCAATACTAAAGAATCGCCCATCGCCTGTGGCCAGTATCACCTGGAGTTTCTTAATGTCAAGAGTATCGGACAAAGAACCCTAACATGAGCACGTCTGAGCAGGTTGGGCAAAACATAAATCTGTAACTTGAGAATCTATCTGCTGGGGGATAAAGCTGTTCAAACCTGGCTGAATCCGTCTCTGCAATATATGTTCGAAGAAAGTATGACACTGATAAAAGCAACACATAACACCGCGTCATATTCAGCGAGCAGCAGAAGATGGAGAGTCACAATGGCATCGGCCACAATGCCGCCTTTGTCTCCCGGTTTCAATGAAATGTTGTGAATTAATATTAATTTGCAGGAACGAAGCGTAAGCTAGGAAAATCAGCTTAGGATAGAGGTAGAAGGTTGGTTGATTGTAACTTTTAGCAGACATCAGGGCTGCTAGCAACTGAGAAAAATATTCCAGAAAGTGGAGCACATTACTCTGTACTATTTGCCAAACTTATGGCAATGTGTGTTGAGATATTTGATTGTTGAAACCAACATGAACGTTGGTTGACTCCTGAAGTCATTAAACGGAGCTTGGCTTTGGGCCTGGGGGTGGGTGAGATGTGAAGGTTTTCAGAAATGTCGTTGGTGTATCAAATTGTTGGTAGTTGAAGAATCACATTTCTACCCATGGCCCCTTCGCTAGCGTCTCGACATTTCCTTCATCATGGCTGCTGCCAGTCGAGCCATTTCAAATCAGAACTACAACCCTTATCGCTGTGGAGCTCCGAAAGCACGTCCGTCGATATCCAAGTTTGAGAATAGTTCTTTACGTAGTAAGCATCAATTCGAGCAATAGTCAACTAGTTAACTAGTGATGGCAATTCAAGCCTTTTAGCTGGTCACTTAAGGTAGTAAGAATCATGGTGGCTGTTGGTGCCTTTAAAAATTTCTTGAAGTGGAGGGAAATATCAATGATGCCTGTCAGGTGTCTGCTCACGGGTTAAGAAGTATACAAGTCAACCATACCTTAAATCATTCGTCAAATAATTAAATAAGTATAATTATACCTCTGCCCTTGGCTCCTCCCTAATCTTGTCCACTTGCACGACATTGTCATCCAACAGAAAATCGCATATCGGCGACCATTCCCCCCCCTTCTTCCCCCGCGGGTGATGAAATCCAATAACCATCAGAAAGAATGATAGACAGAAACAACCCCCAACTCCGCAATACAGTGATGACGAAGACCTGGGTTATTTCTCGGGGGATGATTATTCTCGAGAAACATACGACGATACGTAGGGAAGCACCAACAGCAGCCGAGAACCGCACAACGGCCGCAACCGCAACCACAATTGCGAAATGAACGACAAATTGACCCGCACAAACGACCCACGAACACAGCCTCAACTCATCCGAGGATAAAGTGAAGCAACCATTCGAACGTGTCGGCACCAGAAACGCCAATGGATGAGCCCGTCACCTATACTCGTGCCCAGCGTTGTGAAATCCCCGTGCGGGATGGGAATCCAAATAGGATCTTAATACTGCTGAGAGGCCTCGAGAGGAGGAACAGGATTGCCTGAAACCGAACTTAAATCCTAATCTGGATGTAGAGGTAGAATTAAAAAGCAGTATACATGGTGATCTGACACTGGCTTTTCCGTAAGCACAATCCACCTAACAATTTGGCTCTTATTCTCCTTGCTTGCCGAATCACTGTTTCCATTTCTGTTTTCGTTTCTGTTTGTGTTCTGCTTCCTTCCTCTTCCTGTACTCCAAATTGTTGCATCCATTGATTGTAAGATTCGCTGAGTTTGACGATAATTGTGACGACCTTAATTTGGCAGGGCATAGAAAATGAAACGCTCGAACCCTCATTTTCCCCTTGAGTCCCGTTTCAAAGCATAAACTGTGTCTTGGTGGAAAAATGTGTTTCGAGACCTTTTTCCTTTGGTCGTCGCTTTCCAGTCATGGCATGCTTTATTAAATAGTAACTTGTAAAAGATTAGGGGATACGCTCGTTGTGTCCGGTAAAAAATGGTGGAAATATGCATCAGGAAGCGAGAGATTTTCTTTGCTTTCCTTTTGTTGGCATTTGGGAGATGTATCGGTTGTGTTTTTACTTCAACGCCATACATTGTCACATATTCAGTCGTTGATTTGTATTTCGTTTGCAATCATAAATGCTTTATCTCAGACGTTCTTAAGGAGCTTTTGGCTGTCTGTAAAAACCGTACATCCATCATGAGCCTGCGGTCCGGTACTAAACATTGGAAATGGGCGCTGAGATTCCAACAAAGGCCAAGGGGTATTCCATAACTTACGCAAAAGTCGCCTGGCAATGTGATATCCTTTCGTATTATGACTGTGTCCTGTCCCCGGGCTCAAATCATGGTTCGAGCATTCTGCCATATGTGTACATCCACGTCGCGAACCCTGAAATTGGCGGATAAACCATTCCCGCGCCAAGGAGATTTAAGAGTGGACGGAAGCATTTCGTGGTGCAAGATTGTGGTGTATCAAAGAAGAACTGGATAATTCTGATTTCCTCTAATACGCTCTGCATGGTAACTTGGGACATGGCATAATTCCAATTCCGATGTCAGGAATAATCAGGATCTATCGAGCATTCCAAGGATCTTCCATGCTGTTCTTGCTCCAAACCAAAATCACTGAGTGGGAAGAAGCAAGTCGAGTGATCGCAACCCGATTCCGCTGCCGGATGCCATCTTGCTTGACATAGAGAACTCTTAGCAAAAGAAATTTCCCAATTCTTGAGCGCAAGGGCAACGAAAGACACTTGTGCGCTCAACTTTATTTTAAGTTCTAGTGATGCAAGTTTGATATACTAGTCCTAATATGTCCTAGTGTTGCTCGTTAGGGCATGGCATTTTCGACAAGCGAACTCACTGTGCGAAATTCAACATTCCTTACGACGACGACGCCGACAAGCTTCAACCTCCCGCGAAATTCACCACCGCCGACCACCGTGCGATATTCTGGTCAAGGACTACACGATACGAGGTGAGAAATACCCTCCTCCCTATTTTATTCCTAGGTTTTGAGACGCGTATTTCGAGATTCTGCGATGGTTTTGCTGTGGGGGATAAGGGTATCCCCACGAGAGTTTGTGCGAGGGCGATATCCAACGAAAAACACGCCATGGAAAAATCGATCTCGGGAAACATATATCCGCGTTCTCACCGTTATCGATTGAAATGCTGACCGTTGAGATTTTTTCTTTCAGTAGTCCAGTCCATCAACCGCAATCATGGGTATCTCACGAGATTCCCGCCACAAGCGTTCGGCCACTGGTGCGAAAAGATCTCACTACCGCAAGAAGAGGTATGGAGATGATGCTGCGCAATGATCCTTTGATTTTATGAGAAATGGGGAACCATATAGATATATTCCTTCTTTGCAGACTTCTTACGATTATTCAACTTTTTATTACAGAGCTTTCGAAAAGGGTCGCCAACCCGCCAACACCCGTATTGGACCTAAGAGAATCCATCTCGTCCGCACCCGTGGTGGCAACCAGAAATTCCGTGGTCTCCGTCTTGAATCTGGGAATTTCTCATGGGGCTCTGAGGGCATTGCTCGCAAGGTCCGGGTCATTGTTGTCGCATATCATCCCTCCAATAACGAGCTCGTCCGCACAAATACTCTCACCAAATCCGCGGTGGTCCAAGTCGATGCTGCGCCCTTCAGACAATGGTATGAGGCTCACTACGGCCAAGCCCTCGGCAGAAGACGTCAACAAAAGGCCGGAGCGGAGGTAGCGGAGGAGAAGAAGAGCAAGAGTGTAGAAAAGAAGCAAGCCGCACGATTCGCCGCCCAAGGAAAAGTTGAGCCAGCACTTGAGAAACAATTCGAGGCCGGTCGGTTGTATGCTGTGGTTTCCTCGCGGCCTGGCCAGAGTGGCCGTGTCGATGGTTATATCCTGGAAGGAGAGGAGTTGGCCTTTTACCAGCGTGCGATCAGGAAGTAGAGTAGGCGGGGCAGGCAGGGTTGCGTGGGAGTGACGATTGATGGGTTTGGTTGGAGTTCAGCAAATTTTTCGAAAATAAAATTATGTGATACTTTTACAGCACCTGCTAGGGTGGGATCTCTGCAGAGCTCTGAACATTTTTTACCTGTCGGAATGAAATTTTCCTTTTCTAATTCATTTTTGTTAACATGGAATATCTCCCTAGGGCCGTTTCTACCCTTCTAGTTGAGCAAACTTGAAATCCCGCCGTACGTTCAGAATTTATTACGTGTAGATCTCGTAAATATCTCCAAGCGGGTTGAATATCTCCCCATACATTGAACCAACCGTCCCAATCTGGGGCAATTGCTGTTTTCCAATGCCTAGCTAAAATATTGATCACATGACCGTTGAACTAGCCCTCATTTTAATCAAAGTCGAACAGACAAGTTCTTTTGCTTCCCGTGCCATCGCGAGGCTAACCCCCAACGACCGTTCAGCAAACGTCGTACGGAGTCGGAACACAGAAGGCATGGCGGCGAACAGTCCCCCAAATGAGGTGAAAACCCGCTTCTGTATCATTTCCGATACGCATACATATACGCCTTTGCCACCGGACAATTGGTCTCCATTTCGATTACCTTTCCCCTCCTCAGATGTCCTCTTACACGCCGGCGACCTCACCATGGTCGGGAAGGAGAGCGAGCACCAGGCGACAATTGGTATGCTCAAGAACGCGGATGCAGAGCTAAAGATTGTCATTGCGGGGAATCATGACATCACTCTTGACGAGGACTACTATAATAGCTTCGGGTATCGTCGACACAGAACTAGGGAAGACCTGGTTAAAATCAGGGACATGTACTGCGGGGAAGAGGCGAGGAAACACGGCATCGTCTATATGGATGAGGAATTGAGAACGTTCACTCTGAAAAACGGCGCCCGATTCACTGTCTATGCGTCTCCGTACCAGCCGGAATTCTGTCGATGGGCCTTCGCATACAAGCGCCATCAAGACCGATTCAACCCTGCCGTGGAAGGCTCACAATTCATTGCGCAAAACCCAATACCCGATTTTCCTACTGTGGATGTTATGATAACTCATGGGCCTCCAAGAGGGGTTATGGATGAGACCATCAGCTGTGAACCTGTCGGTTGCGACCACCTTCGACGCGCAGTTACCCGAGCTAAACCCCGCCTCCATTGTTTTGGTCATATCCATGAAGGATATGGTGCTCAACGAATGGAATGGGCGGGGGAGAAAGTAACGAATATAAAGCTTGATCAATCGACCGTGCTCAAGGATCGAGCCTCTTATATTAATGTCAGCCGCGACGGCGCTGATAATCCCTTGAAGGTGGGAGAGGAGACCTTGTTTGTCAACGCCAGCATCGTCACTGTCCAATATGACCCAGTGCATGCCCCTTGGGTTGTTGATATCGATCTACCTCGTTCGGATGATTCATGAGGCATGGAGCCTAAAATCGACCTCGCCCCTTCAGCAAATACTTTTGTTAAGGCCAGGTTTGGTGTAATTTCTCTCACGCTATTATACCAATGACCTCTTATTAATTGGATACCAATAGGAGGAGCCAGTCATCGAATCCACACTCTATCCACGGAAGTACGGACAAAATTTGTTTTCTACGTGCAACACCTCACGCAGCAGGTGCGAATAACGTAGACGGGTTCCATCCTCGCTTGGGAGTACCTGCAGTTGTTAGCCCTCCTTTGAGAGATGAAAATTTCTGTCGTTTTCTGGATATTTGCAATCATGATATAGATCCTGTATTGTTTTCGAGTTCATGGAGTTGAATTGTTTATCCTTGCGGAGGAGAAACATTGGAACTAATCATTTTATTTACAGTGAAGGTTGTTGGCCTAGTACATGATCTTCCCCAACCCCTTCTTTTATTCTACACATAGTTTGCGGATACGGATGTATATTCACGTCTCAACATATTTTTCCACCATTCCTCTCATTCACTGGATACCCCCGCCACACACGCACAAACCGAAGAAAGTCCAATTTTCTATTTCTATATAATGCTAGCTTTACTTACAGACCTTACCTCAATAGCGTTTATACCTTATTTCCATTATATCTCTGCTTCCATTTGGGTCTGTTGCACTTTCATGCTTTAGCTTCCACATTTCATCCCATCAGCAGGGGTATTGAGTTGTCACAATCAATCGAATTCGTACCCTATTCCCAGCTAACCATTCAGAATGGCAAGACCCAGTCTGGACGACATTGCAGATACTGAGCACAACGAGGAGATTCTATGGATAAACGACTCGCGAGGCTGCGGGATTCCTGTCGTCAGTCCATTCGAGGAGACAATATCAGAAGACACAATCATCATTTTTTCCATTTGCAATTATGTCGAGAATTCTGGTTCAAAATGCCCTATCCTCTCTAGCAATCCACCAGACTTTGAATCTGGGGAGCCAAGTCCCTTCGTAGACTATATCAAGCTATCTCGTATCATAAAGTCGAATAGGGATAGAATTACTCCAGACGATATTGTCGTTTTTCAAGAACTGGCCCATTGTCGCCGTGCGTATTTCACCGCCTACAACCTCTTCTTCAAATCAGACAACACGCTCCGCGACCTCTTCGCTGAAAGGTGTCAGCTGTTCAAGACATCGCAAATCGTTGTTAAGAATCCGGATAAGTTTACGATCGAGAGTCGACGAGATATATCCGAACGTGTCGGGATTAATGTGCGCAATTGCGCCGCAGAAAAGAAAATGCACGCCATTTGGCTTCGGGACATCGCTGCATGTACCGCACGGCTTGCAGGAATCAAGCATAAAGCGGCCTCAATACTTCGTGGAATCTGGGACAAAAGCTCTAAATCTCAGCGTCAAAGGAAGAAAACGTCGAACGGGATGGCCACAGGCATTAGAACCCACAATATGGGCGGTAGCGGCGCCTTGAAAACACGCTCTCCTTCCCCTATGCCACGATCAGTAAAGCTGATAACAAGTAATGGTATCTCCAAGGGACGTCCATACAACCTCCAACCTGCAGGCCTAGCTGTTGGCAATAAAATGAACTCAGTGGATGAGCTAAAGGAAGGCTTTAAGTGCAACGTACCTCAGCCATACCACACTCCTGTCCCCTCACTGCCGATTCTCACCCCCGCGCTTCTCATTTTTGGGAAGGACTAGGGGAAACCACGCCTCCTATGCTGCGCTCTGCAATGGAGGAACTCTAGCCCGTTTTTTTTATATCTTGAGTAGTTTTCCCACTTACCGCCCCGTCAGTTCTGCGTTCCAGTTCTTGCTGCTCTATTGTGCAGCTTGTGCTTGGATGAGCAAGCCAGCGACCTGGAAGCCTATAGTGGCCTCGTGATTCACGATGGTTCGTTCTACGTCCCTTCATTCAGAATATCTGCCTCCTTCCATCTAAAATGTTGGGCGCTTCGGGTTTTATTCTTGTGTAGTATCATGGCCCTGTGAAGTACTGTTTGTGAATGTTTCTTATCTGCCTGTTCTAATTTTTTATTAGTTAATTGTTCCAGGTATTAGTTAGGTGGAGGACGATTGTTAACTTAAAACGTTTTACAAATTTTGATTCTGTGCCGCGAACGCGAGGTAGGGTACACTCACTCTCACACACACTCTCTCTTTTTTTGCTCTTTCTTCCGCTCACTTAAACCTCTAATCTTATTGACACTTTTGCCTTTCGTGTTTGATTCTCTCGAAGATATGATTGGGCCTGGAACCTAATGGATGGGGGGAGGATCCGAAGCGCGCCCTGAGTTAGGACAACGAAACATTGACAGGAGGATGTAGATTGTTCTGCTTGCAATGAAACAAAACTATGTTACCTCCATTCCACGAATCATACGTTCAAAATTAACCAGGAAAACTACTGCACCTCGCCGGAAAAGGAATGTAGCTGAAGAGGTAGTAATTTCGTATAGCTACGTGAGTCACTTTCATTGGGCGCATATATCCAATTTGAATAGCATGATGTCCCGGAAACAAAGTTCTGTCCCTGGGCCTCTGTCTCTATTCGAATCGATGCACGACTTCTATTAACTATTGAGGAGAATATTCGATTTAACATGATAATACACTGCACACGGCAAGGGCCATGCCTCCTGGTATCTGTCTAACAGTAGCCCCGCTCGGTATGTCATATTCAAACAATCTAGGCGCCCTCCAGGATTGATTCTGGGGTAGGGTCCACTTGATGGCACGCTTTAATCAAATCCCATGCGGTTGTTTTTATGGGATGAAAAAGTCCGATGTCGTTCTACGCCTCGGTTGCTGAGACAGGCCATCACATTGCGCGATGTATGGCTGGCTGCTCAGCATGAAGTCTCCCATCCAGATATCAAGGCTGTGCTTGTTGTGGTCGGATCGATACTAAGAAATGCAGGTGATATGGAGTATTGAGGTTTGGAGGCCTGCAACGAGAAGGAATTTGTCAAGGCACTCCCTGATTAGTTCATAAAGGATAGAGCGATAACTGTACTGTAATCCAAAATAAAAGAATCAATGGTATCTTTTCCTGCGTCGTATTTACGCACAATGACATTCTCAAAATTATTCCCCCTGTTTATCGTTCATGTTTTCTGTATTTTCCATGTGAAGATCTTTGTTGTTGCTGATGGAGATCCTGTAGACGGATAGGACTCCCAAGACCGCAATACAGAGCTGAATACCTAGTTGAGAAGCTGCATGAATGCCATTTAGTGATGAGAGAATTTTTTTTGGGGTATTCAACAAGCGATTACGCTGTTAACTCCTCCGTGGATATCCTAGGACTGCTGCGTGCCAGATTCCCACGGAGATGGACAGTGCTTTGGATTGCTCATCCGACAAGGGGACACGATGTTTCAATCCTCGTTTCCTGCTAGTTGAGCAAATGTGGGGTGTGTTTGATGAGACGGGGCTTTCCCTGCCAATTTGCATCCATCCAGAAGGGGTTTTCTGACGCAGGAACATGAAAAAAAAAAAAAAAAAAAAAAAAAAACCAGGTATTATGCTTGCTGCGAACTCGGAGCCCGAAGTCCCGCTTTTCCAATATTCCAACCTGAATGAGGATTCATTCCTCATTCAGCACTTAATGGCCCGCCAAACTCCTATCTTCGACAGAATCTCACGAATTCTCCCTTTCGTTGTTGCGGCACAAGTAGCAGCAGACCCAAATCAACGACGTCATCACATCAAATCTATCCGATGTTGATGGGTGCGGAGAGTGTTGTTCCATTGGAAGGCGGTCGATCGGCCAATGCGACGAGACGATGATACCATCAACATGGTCAGTCAACGGCCACAATGGCAGAGCGGACGAGCTGCAGTGCAGGGGCTCGCGGCTTGTTTTTTACAGATGCTGGAAGGTCATTTTACGCCCCTTTAGCGTAGTTGTTTAGTCTGCGGGGAAAGTTCGTGATAGGATTTTACCCCTGACTACCCTTGATGGGTCGGCAGCAAGAACGCAACCAATTCCTTTAGGCATCATCATCACCACCATCACCATCATTCTCTTATCTGGGCCTCTACGGTTGACAGTTTCCACGCGGCTGTTCTGTGCCCCTTTATCTTCTCTAGAACCTCATATTCTTCCTCCCCGGAGTTCTTCACACATTCCTGCCTCCTGATTTACTAATCATTAGACAGCTGGGCTAGACCACCACAGATGGCGCCGCTTAAATACCTACAGAACTTTATATCACAACGGAATTGACCTCCAGCACATTCCGTGGAACCTGTCAACTTCTGATTACGACAAGGAACAGCCATAGGCGCAACAACCAAGAAGTGTGGCGGGGCTTGCAAATATCGGTAAACGCCAACGAAATGAAGGGCATATCAAGATGTGAAGCCGGGAATCATTGTTTAGCCTGCAATTTTCGCCCTCCATCAAACCAATCCTTAGAAATACGAACCTGAAAAATGTTGCCCCGTATCAATTTCCAGAAGACTCTCTTCCGCTCCTCCGATCGAACTAGTTATTTCAAATTTGAAGAACACCCCCTCCTTCACATCAAATTAGTGAGTGATGCATGGCCAAGGTGATGTTGGGCACACTGAAAACCAATATATATGAGAGCAGACCCACGCTTCAACATGTGGCATTCAATCCTATTTCTGATCATCTCATCCTTCTTTGTTTGGGATATGATCGATGTGCGATATGCTGAGATGGCGATGGTTGGGGCGTCAAAGCGTTATTTTGCAGCCACAGCAATTAGATATCAGGAAATGAAATCGTATGCACACTCAAGGCCGTTGAAGCCAGGATGTGATGTGGCGTTGTCGCTAACCCTGTCGTATCTAGGCTGGAGATGGCACATTTTCGAGCGATCATGGCTTGCGCTATCCTGCTAGCCACAACCTCCATAAGCACCATAATTCACATCAAGGGACATAGCTCATTGGTCTCCCCACAGTTACAGTGACTCTTAACATGTCGATGTTGCATCAACAATTGCCCGGCTGTCAACTCTCGGAAGGCTGAGGAATGTTGGAGCTGGTCCCTCCAAACACCAACCCACCAACTATGGCGGCCATTCCGCGCAGAGCATGGGGTTTTCTTTCGTTCCGTTGGGGAATGCGGAAGAATGCTTCATGTGCCGTTCACGCAATTACCTAAGCCCAATGTCACACTGCGTTGGGCATTACACAAAGCCCTCTCAACGTGGAGGCTTCTCTCTGTACCTTCACTCGTATTCTTGGCTGAGGTTGCATGAAATTGGGAAACCAGGTTTGTGGATCTCCAAGGACCGTCTTCCCGCTTTCTGTTTTTTTTCGGTTTGGCTGTGGAGTCCCGGTAAAGTAGCCCGGGAGCTCCAGAAGGGTGTCGATCAATCAGCCCCAGTTGCTATATAAGGCACGCTGCTCCGCTCCCGAAAGGAAAAAAAATTATCAGCAACCGAATCCAAGCCCAGTCCTGCCTTCAACTGAGCGACATTAGTTTGACCCTCCCAACATGCACCTCCGGCGGCTGCTACAGGCCGCGGCCACAGCTATATGCTTGGCAGGTGTTGCAGTTGAGGCTGTCGATGTTAACCCACTACCCGCTCCCGCTGATATCACCTGGGGGACTTCCGGGCCCATCCATATCAGTGAAAGACTTGAGTTTAGAGGACCCAACAACAATCTTCTCAGGGCCGCCTGGAGGCGCGCATCTGACGCAATCAGAACTATCAGATGGACTCCTGCCGTGGTCGAAAAACCAATTCCAACATTTGAGCCGTTCCCGGGCAGTTCAAAGGCACGGCGCGACAGCGTTTGGCCACCCCAGCGCTCCCTGGTCAGAATGGTCAATGTTAAAGTCAAAAACGAGCAGGCCGAATTACAGCATGGCGTTGACGAATCCTACACTCTGGACATCAAAGAACGATCTAATTCTATTGATATCACTGCCAACACCATCTGGGGAGCTATGCATGCCTTTACTACACTCCAGCAGATCATCATTGCCGAGGGCTACTGGCGACTGATCGTCGAACAGCCAGTCTCCATCAAGGACCAGCCACTGTATCCGTATCGCGGCATCATGGTCGATACTGGTCGTAATTTCATTAGCCCAAAGAAAATCAGAGAACAACTGGACGGAATGGCATTAGCGAAGCTCAACGTTCTCCATTGGCACATGACTGACTCTCAGTCCTGGCCTGTCAAGATTAACCGCTATCCCCAAATGACGAAGGGCGCCTACTCCCCCCGTGAAGTATACACGCCAGAAGATATCCGCCACATTGTCCAATACGCCAGGGAACGTGGAATCCGCGTCATCCCCGAAACTGATATGCCAGGCCACTCTGCAAAGGGTTGGGAGCAAGTCGATCCTAAGATGGTCGCTTGCGCCAATTCTTGGTGGTCTAATGATGTTTGGGCGCTTCACACTGCAGTCGAACCAAACCCAGGTCAACTCGATATCATCTACGACGGAACTTACAAGGTCGTGGAAAATGTCTACAAGGAGCTCAGTACTCATTTCCCCGATAATTTCTTCCACACCGGTGGCGACGAGGTGCATCCTAACTGCTTCAATTTCAGCAGCATTATCCGGGATTGGTTCGCTGAGGACTCTAAGCGTGACTTCAACGACCTACTTCAGGTATGGGTCGACAAAGCTTATCCGATTTTCAAAGACCGCCCCTCCCGTCGCCTCATCATGTGGGAAGATGTCCTTCTCGGCGGAACGCATGCGCACACTGTCCCCAAGGACGTGATCATGCAATCATGGAACCTGGGTCCAGAAAACATCAAGAAACTCACTTCTCAAGGCTACGACGTCATTGTCTCTTCTGCCGACTTCCTCTACCTTGACTGTGGTTTCGGAGGCTGGGTCGGCAATGATGACAGATACAATGTCATGTTCAACCCAGACCCAGCCACACCAAACTTCAACTACCTTGGACCTGGCGGCTCGTGGTGCGCCCCGTACAAGACCTGGCAACGTATCTACGATTACGACTTCACCGTCGGTCTCACCGAGGACGAGAAGAAGCATGTCATTGGCGCTTCGGCACCGCTGTGGTCTGAGCAGGTTGACGATGTGGTGATTTCGACAAAGTTCTGGCCCCGCGCTGCGGCTTTGGGCGAGCTGCTATGGTCTGGCAATCGTGACAAGGAGGGCAAGAAGCGCACGACCAAGATGACTAGCCGGATTCTGAACTTCAGAGAGTACTTGTTGGCAAATAACATTCAGGCGGCACCATTGCAGCCCAAGTATTGTCTCCAGAACCCGCATGCGTGTGACTTGAATTACAATCAATCCGTGATTGAGTAAGTGGTTGAGTGTTTCCACTGGTACAATTGATGATGGTGATGTTGTGGCTTCTTTATTTCATTACATGGACATATTTTGCATCATCCCATTCCTTGTGCTTGTCTGCATATTTCCTTTCCTCTCTTCCAACACACATGCACATGCCATGTTCCATCTGACTACATTAATTGCTGCATTGCAGCTCATTATGTATTTATTTTACTTTTTGGTTGCTCACTCCACCTGCGTGCTAGCAGTATGGTGGTTAGCACCAAGTAGTCTTTGGATTGCAATTCCCCTTTTAATCAAAGGAAAACCAGAGTGGTAATATTTAACCACTCTGTTTCTTGTGTATTCGCAATGCAGCACTTGTAGTAGATATACTTTTTAACCTGCACCAAAAACCAATGCGAAGATCAATGGCAGGCTCATTAGGATCAAGTTTGAATTTTAACCCAAACTAGTCTGTGTTAGCACATACCAAGTAAGGATTAGGTGAAAGAGAGCTAAACCAAAATCAACTCTCACACCATGGGAAGTATGGGGATGATTATAAAGAAAATAAATAGGGCTAGAAATTGAGGAGGGAAAGAGAGGAGTGGGCTAAGTAGTTTAAACGCAGATCCTGTCAGGGTGAAGACTTGGAAAACTGTCTAACTGATATACTGCCGTCTGGTGTATATTCAGGCCACGAAAATAAATTATATAAAGATATCACGGAGCCAAAGCCGATTGTAGTGGAGTTGAATGGAAGGAGGCTAAGATATATGATCCAAATGAGAAAGAAAGGATGAAAAAAAAAAAAAACCGCCCATCTTGTAACCGCATCACGCAAGTCGGGGCGGGGTTTGTCCTCGTACTATCTTCATATATCCAGCATAGCAATAAAAACAAAATATATGGGAATCAAGGGGATGAATATAAGTATAAGTAGTCGAAAAAGAAAAAGGGGTAAGCGAGGCAACCAAGTACCTTTGAACAAAAAATTCAAACAAGAGAAGAGAAGAGAAGAGAAGAAACACTCATCTCGTGAAAAATTATACGTATATGCCCAATATAAATTATTAAAAAATTATCTCTCTGTGCATTCACTCCTCTCGCAACACCTCACCGGCCCTAACTCCATCCCGCACATTATATCGACTCGTCTTCCTCCCAACTTTCAACATGCTGAGTCGCTTCATCATTGAATCTCGAACTCCACCACCACCGTTACTATCAGCAACAGATGCAGCAGCGGCAACATCTGCTGTCACCGTGGCGCCAACATTCGCTCCGTGGGAATTATAAACGGTATGCTTGCTATTGTTATTTTGAACCGTCGTAGTCATAGTCGTCGGCACCGGCATTGTCACTTTTGTAACAAGCCGTTCCGACGTGACCGGACGACCGTTATTATTGGAACTCGCACTCGCGATCGTAGAATTGTTTTTATTATTGCTGCTGCTCTTGGTTCCACGGCCTGCATTCGATACCGCTCGAGTAAGTTGGCTCACTTTTGTAGCGGCATTGCTAATGCTGTTACTGACACCAACGTTGTCGTTGTTCTCCGCATTAGATGGCTGGGGGGCAATATTGCCATTTTTCTCATCCTGTGATCGAGAAGATCGCGCACGTTCTGTTATCCGTTGCTGTGTTGTGCGAATATCTTCAGTAGAAGTCGCAGGCGCAGAGACCGATAAGCTATTCTTGCGCACATCGATTCCACCGCCACCACCAAACCAGCTACGTCGCTTTGACCCGGAGTCGCGGTTCCTATTGCGTGACCGACGGCTTGCAGAGCGGCTGAGTCCGACGGATACGGGATCCGTGGCCTCCGTTTTTGCAGTCGACGGGCGCGATGTGTGGGTGCCGTTCAGCTTAGATTCGGATTGCCGTCGTGCCTCGTTAATGGTAGAGGCAGTGATTGTAGAGTTTGAGTTAGTGGCGGAATGGTTGGAACGTTTGAAAGGATTCAGACTGATCCGGTGGGTGGTGATGGTTTTCTCGTGGGATTTATTAGTAGCGGAAGGGGTTTCAAACCGACGCGTACTGCGGATGAGTTCCTGTTCGGGGCTGGTGGAACGGGGTTGGGTTAAAGGCTGTGGTCGAGGAGCAATTAGCGGTTCAGGGCGACTGCTAAGAAGGCTAAGAGGTTCTCCACTTTCAGGAGCACTGAAGACAGGAGTAAGAGAGGCAACCTCTGGGGCAAACACGACCTGGAAACGGCTGCTAAGTTCCGCCTGGGTAGCTTGGTAAGCAGGACGATTGTACAGTGCGAGGCAACGTTTCAGTGCAAGAGTATGATCGATCAAAGCAACGGCCATTGCGTTGTTCAGAGGGTTGGCGGGATGTGGAGCCTGCTCCTCAGTCCCGCCATCTTCTGAATTCATATAGGCTTTACTCTCGTCTACTATAAATTGTCGATAAAGCGCAACACAGCTTGAAGGAGATGACTCAAGATCAAGAAGGCGGCTTAGAACTTCTGTTAAGCCTGTCAAATTGAAGTCCTCCCCAGACGAGGCTTGCCTCTCAAGTATCATGAGCTCCTGGGTTTTGCGCCAGGTTCGCTCAATTGCTGTTTGGAGAGGGGTAAGGGCTATTTCCTCCGCCGAGATGATTTCACTTCTCCGAAGTATATTCGGGAAGGGTTCAGCTGTTGTGAAAACAGTTTTGACGACCCACTGTTCCTTCACATCATTTCCACTGGTGTGTCGTTTGGAGGTTATTGAAAATTGGGAAGGCACTGAGGATAGCAAATGTTCTCGGACTGAATAGGGCACCTTAGATCGCTGGTAGACAGGGTGAGTCATATCTTTTTGTACACTGACAGCAGAAATTCGCAAGAATTGTCCCTCAAGATCGTCTATATCATCCGAAGACACGATATGGGCGGCTGGGTATTGTTTTTGCATACGGTCAGTGAACGTCGCCATCCTATCAGTCGGAGACCCTTCGAAAATATATTGCTTATCCCTGAGGGTAGCCGGGAAGCCAAGGCCCTTGAATGTAACACGGAAATATCTTTGAGATGGACTGTTGTCTTTGACAATGGCATCGTAAATCTTTGCCATCGATGCCTGGGTTCTTGAAAGTTTGGAAAAATCAAGTACGGTGTGCTCGTAATGATGTGCAAGTTCCCGGTAGCAAGAGAGTGCATGTGCCCAAGCTTTGCCATCCTCAAAATGTTGAATGATTTCAAAATACAAAGCCTCTTTCCGCTCAAAGGACGTCTGTTCTTGGAAAACGGGGTTCGTCAGCGCAGGTACCCGCTTGGAGATATCCCAGTCATAAAGATCCGCGTGGAACTGAAGAGCAAGGCCTGCTTCAGTGTAATTACGCGCCGCAATTTGTCCAAGAGCAAGCTCGTGCACGTATCGAATAAATATATCCTCCTTTTCCATGTCTTTCATAAACTCCATAAGCTTCAGGGTATTGAGGCTCCCCGTGATATTACCATTTTGAGATGCAACCAAAAGATCCAGCAATTCGTCGACAGTTGCAACGAGTTCTTTCAACGCCACAAGGAGGTCTGCATCCGGATTTGAAGAGTTTATTTCAAAAACGTCCAGCAGCTCGTTGATAAACAGTTTCTGAGTCCCACTCTCACTGACATTCTTTGTTTTGAATAACAGGTCTAGACTGGAGATTATCTCAGCTTCCACGAATGAAAGATCTTCATTGAGTTGCCATTCGCTAACGATCATTGTCTGCAGGATCATAACGGCGACATGCCGGAGACCTTCATGGACACTGAGGCAGAGTTCGATAATAGGACAAACGAGGCTAGGGACATATTGAACTTGGTACCCGCCCAGCTTTTTCACGAGATAGCGCTCTTGTTCTTCCGAACTTGTATCCCAACCGATTGCTTCCCATGCTCTCCGTAACAAATCAGCACCGTGCTCGCGCACATCACCGGCAATTTTCCACACGGCTCGACGCTTTTGCTCTGGGAATGTCTCGAGGGTGAGCGCATCACTTGAGACGAGTTTCAGAAGAGTCTCGAGAAATAATTTCCATAGCTCCATGTCAAAATTATCCGCGTCGTCTGGCGTGGGAAGAAAAGAGCTGATCAGCATCGTTAATAGATATTCTAGACTTTTCATGGTCGATCGGTGATGATAAATATGTAGACTCAGCCACGTTGAAGGGTACGCTTCACAGCTAAGGATGGATTTATGGGTCTCGAGCGCCTGTGACAAGAACAAGGCTAGGTCATCGCCCTTCAACGATAGCGGGGTCGGATTGGGTATTGTTGCGAGCGACGCAATAATGGCTGCAAGTTCTACAAGACTCTCCTCGAATTTCTGTGTCACATTGGACTGTTTGAGTTGGAATGGGAAAGTTTTGCTGAACAGCATTGATAGCCAATTCGTTCCCTCGACACCATCGGCAACAAGAGCACAATATGATGCTACAGCCTTGGGCATGTATGCGTACATTTCGGGGGACGGATGCTTTAGTTGCTCCGCTACAATTGACGAACAGAGTCGAACCTGGTCTCGATACTGGTCAGTAGCATCGTCTGTCTGTCCCCAGTATGGAGAGAGCCAGTCGACACAGTGAGAGAATAACGCTTCTCTATCTTTTGGGCTCTCGAACAGGGGAAGCCGGATATAGTTAAGGATCAAAACCAACTTATAAAGGATAAGCATGCTCTTGACATCCTCGCAAGAATCCATGAAGCTCACAGCAATATTAATGATTTCTTCCTTGGTCAGCGCATTTGAAAGTTCGGGCAACCATGTATGAAAATGCTGTACAACCAGAGTCTTGCTGCCGACCAGTATAGGAGCAGGGTTTTGCATGAGAGCTTCCACAGACTTAAAGATGAAATGTAAATCCCGGTTGAAGGTCGATTGAACCTTTGTGATGCCGATGCCTTCCTCCTTTGCTTTCTGTTGTTCCCTGGCGTTAATGATGAATTTTAGAATATGTCGTCCAACTTTGAAGGCAGCACGAAGGTTACGAGATTGCTGTGAATCCGGTGTCGCTTGAAGAAGGCGGCAATAGCTTCGAATCAGACATGGAGTAGCAAACGGGAAGTTGAAGTGTTTTTCGGCATAGTGGTCGACCAAAGGCCCAAGGTTAAATCGACGGTCATGCACAATACCAAGGACAGTGACCAAGTCATTGAAAACTAGATCTTCATACTCTTCATTTCCAGAATTCTCCACAATAATCCCAAAGAGAGCGTCAAACACATCCCGAAGTTGTTTAACGATTTCAATTTCTGGAACGAAAACGATTCTTTTTAAAAGTTCCAGAACCTCCGTTGGCGACCGTTCTCGCCAGTTTATGAGGCCCAAAATTACGTGATCCTGTGAGTATTCTGTACTACAGAGATCCGTTTCTAGGGACAGTGTTGCTAGAGGACCAGTAACAGCTTCGTCTTTAGTAGATTCGTTCTTTCCAAGTGCACTCCAGGGAAGGGATAAATATGCGCCGCGACCATTTTCAATGTTTGAAGTAGACTTGTCGTAAGCATGCAATAACAAGGAATGAGGGCCGTCACGAATAAATGCTTGTTGGTCCCACAGAGGCATCCAGCTCAAAGCAAAGGGAAACTCAGGAGCATCAGCTATGCTCATAACAAGATGCGCAGTGGGGACTTGATCTGGGGGAATGTTCAATCGAATCGTTTGGTTCCAAGGGACGCCTCTCTCTGCAACAGTAGTTCTCCACGCAGTTTGGCCTGGTCCGTTGGAGGAAGGGTAGATACAATGTTCAATCCGTACTCCTGCCGTATTACGGACTTCGAGGGTCAACTGGAGGTTCCGTAAACCTGTAACCTGCGGGACCGGAACCTGACAGTTGATCGGATGAGAAAGCAGGGCCTCTTGTGAGATGGTTGCTCGATTAATCGTGACGTAGATATCGGATCTTGGTTTAGTTGGCGCTCCGGAAAATCCAATTCGTTTTGTGTGTGTGACGTTATGGAGGGAAGTAGGGTTGTTTCGTACAAGCGTCTCAGCATCTTCGCTAGTGAATGGGTGGAGCTGTACATGGACCCTTGCCGCGCGAAGCGATCTCACATACTGTTTTGTCGGACTATAGAGAAGGGACCGTACGATCTCATCGAAGCCATCAGAGTAGTCATCCTCTTCATCGTTTGCACGAAGGGGGGACCAGATATTAACGACCTGCTCGACCTCCCTACCTTGCTTGGCTATGGCGCTTATATCCAGTGCTCCAAGCCCCACTACTCTGATAACTGTGCGCTCTTTACCGGGGGTATCAGTTTCGCTAGGCTTGGCTGTAACCGAGTCGCTCGACTGTGGTGGATGTCTTGATTGCTCTTTTCCAATTTCAGGACCTAAACCTCTAGATTTGGCGCCCCACATCATACTACGCCTGGCCTTCAAGCTACCTTTTCCGGCGCTATTGATACCCGAAGCCACTTTATTTGATAAGGACCCATCACGGGAGCTCGATGACCGAGATTTTGGTGGTGCATTGATCCTAGGTGACTCAGATCCCAAGGCCTTGATGACAAGGTACAGCTTCGAATCGGAGTTAGATCCTTCTCCAATATCAGTAGCACTCAAGTCCGTAAAGAGGGTCTTCAACTTAGTGTTGTTAACCAACGTAGCGAAAGTTTCAGCGGTCGGCAGGTCTAAAGAGTAGGTTTCTGAAAGTTGTCGTATATCTCCATTTGCTTGTTTCAACCATAGACTGGCGGCGAGAGTGATCGAACCAGCATCCGTCCCGGAAACTGCATTCACTTCAAGAAGCAGATGATGGAGAGAGATATTATCGAGTAGAGGAGTAAGTCCACGATCAAGCATGCTCATTTCGGATTGAAGCTTGGTCAATTCCACCGCTGAATCGTCTCCAGTAAGCAAGCGGCCTCGTTGTTTTGGATCGCGAACAACCACTTCCCCGCTCAGCATTTTATTTCCCCGGACGAGATTCCACACAGTTTCTTCTCGCAAGGCCGCACGCTCTTGCGCTGTTAGGACATTGTGCAACAACTGTCGTCGTGCAAGGTCTAGTTCTAAAACAATATTCGACATATTCTCAAGAGTCGTGTATTGTCGAGTCAAGAGGAGTTGGTGTATATTTGTAGAATGCCATTCCCGTAAACATGACGCGATTTCGTCCACGAGAGGCTCTGCGGCCGAAGTGGGCGTTTCATCACCAATTTTCAGCATGGGGACAGGGGCAGGTGGTTTAACAGCGCTAGGGTCACGGGGGCCTAAGGATATCGGTGTCAATGGCAAAGAAGGGGACACAGATCGTCGGCTACCTCCTTTTTCCTCTAGTTTTATAATTGTAATTTGGGATATCTTCCGCGACGCTTTAAGGTCACCTACGCTAGTGGCAAGCGTCCTGCCATCCGTGAGGGAAAAACTGTCAGGGGATGCGGTGCTGGTTCTCGAGCCAGCATATTTTCTTGGAGGGAGCTGAGTGCTCAATCTGCCGTCTCTTGACCCGTCTACATCACCTAGGACCTCTCGCACCTCCACGCAATTTTTGGGAAAGATTCCTGAGAATACCCTTGCCTCGAGCGTGCGCCCCTTCACGCTGGTTAAGCCCGCCAGTAGTGAAGGAGGCGCAACGAGATAACCCCGATACCAAGATCCATTAGCCCCTCCTTGTTCAATTATGTAAAGTTCATCGCCAAGTTCTAGTGGGAGGTCCGCGGGAGACGAAGGCTGGAAGGGATAGATTGCGACAGCGAATGCAATCCGAGGAAGAGGTCGCCAGGGCATGATTTGTGATTGACGAAAGTAAGGAAATCGGAACCGCGTGGTGGGGATTAAAAATTAAAACCCGTGAAGGGGAAAGGATCAAAGAGGTATTGGAGAAAGACAGGATAGAAGAAAGAGCTCTTGCGGGATTGCGAGAGTATTCATTCAGAACCTGATCGCTTCGTGACACGGTTTGCGGAAGCGGCAGCTAGTTCATGTATGGCAAAGGAATCCGCGAATTCCAACCACGACGGGGAAATAAACTAGCTCGAGTCAGTCAATGCATCAATTACTATATTTTTTCCATAACAAGCTGAGGAATAAAACCATATATTTCGGGAGGAAGAGGGGAATGAAATGGGAATAAGCAATCATATTGGGGTGACAGTTCATACTAGACGTCCACTCCTCGAAGAAAATATTTCAATCGAAAGTGCTTCCCCAGATCGATCCCCTGGGATGCACGGACAAATATTGCCCCCCACCAAAAACGAGGAGAAGCTTGACTTTCCACGATGCCGGCCTGGCCTTGAGATATTGGAAAGAACCCTGTTTTGCCTGTTGTTGGTAATGGCCAGAGGGAGGGGAGAAGCAAATGGATTAATTGCTAGCAGTTCCCGCTGTGGACTTCTGCCGCGGTTGGATAGTTCCAGAAAGTATTGGGTTTGGAGCAAGATGCCCTTGTCAGCTTTCTCCTATTTCTTGGATAGCGAGTCGGCTAGTGCAGGGAGCTAAAAGAGGGTGGATGCTGTGATAGGCGCACTTGGCCGTTGTTGGCTGGAGAAAGTCCTGGAAGCTGTGGAATACGGAGTATTAGATATTCAATTGGGGATGTCAATCACCTTGGGCACAGACAACTATTATTTAACACAAAGGGTCGATGTTTGGCTGACTCTTGGGACAAATATTTCATATTTTTGTTGCCCTAGACAAGCTTGCTTCCGTGCCCCCAACTTCTAGCTCTCAGCGGAACCAGAGCCCGCCACAAAACTCTGCACAGGGCACAGAGTAAGCTACCCTACAACTTTTTCGGCTTAACTGCCAGGGCATCACGGTAACTAAAATAAATAATATATGCTACTATTATTGTTAGTTGGCTGTGAGCACGGGGCGCCGTCGAATAAAAGCGTTCTTTTCTTGAGAACAGAAACTGTCCATTCATTCTCGGTATTAGGTAACCTCAAGAAGAGTTAGAGTTAGTTAACGAGTTAGTTAGCCCAAGAAGTGTCCTGCGCGTTCTTTGCTACTAGTATTTACTTATTAATTTTTTTTCGTGGAAATAGTGCGGATAATTAATGGATTCTAGCTGTTCCATGTCCTTTATATGGAGTACCGTGGTAGTATGGGTAAACCCAGTCCAGGTTCCCCTGACAGCCTACAGCGCCACCAGAAACAGGATAAGAAGAAGAGTGAAAGCTTCAATTTTCCATAACAACTGTGCACATATTACTATATAGACTATCTAGCTAATAAAATGCACTTTCAGCCTCTTTCCCCAATAAATCCAACCAAAAATCCTCAGCTCTCAAAAGTACCAAAAAGTGTGTTTGTTAGACCACATTCCGGGTGTGCTATCCAGCAAGTTCCATGGGGGTGATAAATGGATAGAATGATACAAAACCACATATCTCCATCGATGCCTTGGTGTCCTAGACAAGAGCTATCCTAGTCCAGCTGCCCAGCTACTATTGTAGGGACCCTTTCCAAGCACAAAGTTGAAAACAGACTATACACAAATTGTCCTTCCGGGTTTACTCTGTACAGTGGTTCATAATCCGCTTGGAAGGGAAAAAAATCGAATTTTAAAGAAAAAAGCCAATGCGGGTATTTAGAAAACGTGTAAGGCAGATCAAAGTAATCAAGGGGAAGATGGTGTATCTAAGAAACACAAGCAAATGAAAGAAGAGGAAACTAGCAGCGTTGGAAATCGCAAAATAATAACAAAGGAAGAGAGGAGGGCGGGGACGGGGAAGAGGAGTAAGCAGAACGGATATAAGGTATAAAATTTGAACGTAACGGCGTGCTAGATCTCATTCGACCTTAAACACCGATAATATCATTTCCAAAATCAGGGAACCGGAGAATATAACCGCCACGACGATTGAAAAACGGAGACTCAAATTCTTCCTCAATCATCGCTTGAACATGGTTATAGCCTCCTCTTTCCGCCACTCCAATTCCATCTGCCCCTCATAAACCAGATCAATTATATGTCTCATACGATCATGTAGTTCTGAATACTGCGTCTCGCATTCTTTCAACACCTTTGCCACTAAACTGCGTGAAACGCCTGAATCATCTACATCTCCAAAATGTTTTTCAATACGCTTTTTCAGAGCATCGATACCGCGTCGCAGTTCCTTCGCATCGTACGAGGTGAGAAGTTTCTTCGCAAAAATCCGTGAATGGCTGGCACGGAGGGCGATATCGGTCGGCGTCGCAGCTGTCTGGAGGAGGGATTCCGTAGACTCGATAAAGTCAAGCATTTTACCAAGGGGCCGGCGGATCACGGCATCTATATACAACCGCAAGTGTTCGTGCAGATCATGCGCAGCTCGATCTTTCCACTCAGCGAGAATCATGTTATCGCGACAGTCAACTTCTTCAATGTAGTTGTTCATATTCTCAATCAAGAGGATATGATAATTCAGTGCTTCTTTGTCTTCTGGGTCTTGACCGCCTCCGGACGCAACATGTTGCTGGCCAGGTCCCTCTTTGGCAATAAACTTCAAACTATCCCACATGGCACGGTTGATTCTTTCATAGGCATCGTTCACACAGGAACGTATATCAAAGCTCTCTTGTGAGGCTAATGGGAGCATACTTTCGATCGATGCAGAGAAATTTGGGAAAATTCTCATGAATGAGATAACTCCTTTCCGCTTGTTCACCATGACTTTTGTTTCTTCAATGGCCCGGATTTGTTCGTCGACGAACTGATTGAAAAGTCCCATTAAACGAGAATGAATTTTCTGGAGACTGTGAGCAATGAACTCCTGGCTGGTTTCATCAAAGGTTGACAATTTCCTCTCCAGAGCCAACAGGATGCCAACTCCTTGCCTATTTAACTTGTCAGCTCAATGGATGTTTTTTGGAGTTTCGGTCGCGTAAACTTACAATGGGTCTGTTCTAATGGACCACTCCGCTAGATTCTGTATATCAGTGATCCAAGAAGAAAATATTTCTTCCATAATCTGCTCCACCTTCTTGGCCATCTCGCGATCTGGGTCATAAAACTCGTTGATGTTCAGGTTGGGTAATCTTCGGTCCGCTGGCCGAGCAGTTAAAATCAAATCCTGGAATTCAATGCTTGAGAGTGACGTCATATGAAAGAATTTCACCACGAAATTTTGCTCCGCAGCAATTAGTTTCGTTGTATCTTCTAATGAACCGCCGAAAACTTCATAAGCCTCAATCTTTCCATCAGATTTGTCCGTTACGGGCATTCGCGAGGTGCCCGCGACACGAACCGTTTTGCCTCGCCTCACGGTCAGCTTCCGGGCAGCGGTGGTGATACCCTCTCCATCACGTTCCTTGTCATGATGTGTGAATAGCAGCTCTTGGTCGTCACCTGAAGGCTTCCGCCCTTCGCGTTTCCAGGCCATAATATTATCCCTGAACTCGTTCTGATATGTTTTCTTCATCTGTTGTTCATATTGCGTGGTAATGGCAGTCCAATCCGCCGTGCTGACCTCACGAGCGAAAAGCATGAAAGCGTTATACATCCAAAGTTCTTGTCGGGCAGTATCATGAGCACCCAAGAAAATTTTTCCTGATTTAGAGCTTGAAATTAAATCCATCGCTTTTTGCTCCGCAATTTTGAAAGAAAGCCCCATGTACTGCTTTAAACGTTGGAGGAAAAGCTGGGCTTCGTCACGGTATTCCCCCTTTTTCTCCTTCACCGCGCGCATCTGGCCAACTTCCGCATCTGCGTAGATTCCAATTGCACCACGGTCGCCAGCAGCATCAGCTAGTCGCCTCTTATTTATTCTAATGTCAGGATCAATCATCACCATTGCTTTGTATAGGATGGCAAGGGAAGACTCGGCTTCTTCGACACCGTCTGTGCTGCTAAGGGATGCTTCTCGGAGAGGTCGGAGGTCAACGGAAGAGATGGAAATGGTTTTGAGGAGATTTTGTAGTTCATTTTGGAGAAGTTTTTGATTCGCAGTTTGGACCTGTAACCCTTGAGATTGTGCTTCGATATAAGCAACATCATCCACTAGGGTCTAAGGTTTGTTAGTACTTTAAATGCCATATGCGTAAAGGTAGGAGGAGGACTTGCATTGAGTTCATGTGAGTATAGCATCAGTAGACCATCCAGTTCATCACACTCGGCAATTGCTTTGTCAAATAGTTTTGCGAGCTGATCTACCTTGCCTTCTTGCTGTTCAAGATGTCCTAGCCAACTACTTGCTTGCACCCGTCCTATCTCGCGCCGGACATCTGCCTCAAGATCATCAACCCGTTTGTCCTCACTCAGTTTCCCATGCCATCCTATGTCACTTAATATATCATCGAAGGAAGCTCCCCTACCCTCCAAAAGGCTTGGGTCGATTGCGAGCGCCGTACAATAATTTGCCGTATTATCCTCACGGCGCGGACGCCGACGTTCTGCTTGTGACGGTGACACTTTCGAGGAGGCAATTTCCGGTGGACTAGCTATAGGAGTCGAAATCCCTTTGGATGGCTGAGGCTGGAGTGCAGTCTCCGTAACCTGGACATTAGCCACTTCTTCAGCCTTCGAAATTTCTGTTGGAGGAACAATAGACTGCGTATCCTTCGTAGATGGTTCTGTCCAAGGAGGAACAGTAGTTTTAACGGAATCATCGGTCATGGTCCTGGATTGGGGCGCTGGAATCACGCCAGTAATACCATCTGGTTCCTCCCCACTCTTCCCTTTGCTGGCCAGTAATCTATCTGCCGCACCCCCAGGTCTAGGTTTGAAAGCGCTATAAGCGGTAGCTGCTTTTCGCAGAGTAGACGCGAGTTCGGCAGGCTTCTTTTTCACCATTGGACCAAGTCCTGGACGATGTGTCTCTCCTTTTTCTTCCGTTAGAGGCTTCTCAAGTGATTCAGCGAGAGAAATAGGCGTGGTGGACGATGAGAGCTTTCTAGGTATATCGGATATTTCGCGCACAATAGGACTTTCCCTGGCGTCAGGTGAGGATTTTTTAACAACTTCTTCAGGTTCGTTTACCGTGCGAGTATCAGATTTGGTATTGATACTAAAGTCTCCAGAACCTGATCTTCGCAGCATTGGAACCTGTCGTTGCGCGCTCGCAGACTCCGAGGTGCCTAGGGATTTCTCGCTCCCTCTAGAAAGAGAGCGGGCGTCAAGGTTTCGGTGATTTTCTGGAGTGAAAGGAGCGATGAACCGACCCTCCGTCTTACTCTTAATCCCTTGTTCCTCAGAGCTACCTTTGGACGTTGGAGGACGTTGCAACGTGGCAGGAGCAGAATGCTCAAAAGCACCCAACGGAGTTGGTTTACTTTTACGAGCTTCGGAATCAAATTGAGCACCCGATTCAGAACTGGACATCTTACTATTTTCAATTGATCGAACGTTATCACTCGGAGCTGGCGTTCGTGCCGGACGAATGCCATTTTCGTTGACAAACTGTGATCTAGCTTGGTTTCCCGTAGAACTTGATAAAGGATTGGGTGCTGGAGATATACCAGGTGGCCGGGCTCGCGGGGACTGGGCCGCCTGAAATGGCGTCGGGGTGTGCGAATTGAGGGTACTGCTTGCGGTTGGATTCGAAGATAAATCACCACGAAACCCTTCTTGCTGGGGCGTTTTAGATGAGGCGAATTCAGAGTGCGGGCTTTGCCCTTCATCCTGCCCCGGCGGAGCGTGCAGGAACTGTTCCTGAGATGTCTGTATTCTTGGTTCTCTTGCTCCATCACGACTTGGAAAATGATTGGTAGGATACAGTGGTTGAGGCGTGTTGGATTGATTTTGCGCGGGCCTGGCCTGTGGCCCAGAACCATCTGGACGGTCTAAGGGGAGACCACGCGATCCTGGGGAAGGACCATTTTGCGCGCCAGGAGCCACAGTACCGGTAATTGTATCTCGATCGCGAGAGTCGAAACCAAGGAGCTCTGGTACCCTACCACCAGTGTACTTTTTATAGATCTTTACCAAACTACCAATAAAGAAGTCCCTCTCCTTTGGAGTTGCAGCCTGCCAATAGTAAGGTTTGGATACAGTCACCACAAATCCAACATTCGATGCCCATATTTTCTGTTGTTGCTCAGAATTGCTTGACGCAGGCATATGTTCGTAAATCTGGATATGGGATAAATCGTCCAACAGCCATGTTTTGCCGATTGAAAATGTGCCGTCATTATTCTCTCTTGCCTTATGCATGCGAACCCTCCCAGACTTTCTCACCGAAACGATTATCAAACGAGGCTTTTTGTTTTCAGGGGGTGAGCTCGGCGGGGCAGGTGTTGAGGGATACGCTGCATCCTCAGTAATTCGAATATGCGTAATATAGGACTCGAGAACTATTTGAAGCGCCTGGTTAGCAGCAGAAAATTACTCCAATAGAAAGTGAAAATTTTCTCCGGAAGCGCGGTGTCTTTCAGATAGGTCCCATAGGCATTATCCGTTAAATGTTTGCTTCCGTTACAAATGCTGCCAATGCGTTGCATAACCACAAGTATTCGGCGATCAATCCCGATATAAGGTAACCCACCTGAACCATCCACATCCTGCTTGCCAAAGCAGCATTGGATGAGCCGGCGCTTCTCATCGTCGAACCTCTCTGCTCTCGACATCCCCGTCGGCGCGGGGTTTGTGTTGCTACCGTTGCGCACACCCGCCATGGGACGTCGTTCCCTGGTGGGTGAGACATTTGAAGGCAGCCCCCGAGGGCGATCGCGGCTGTTCATGATCACAGTTTCGCCCGAATCGGATGCTGAGAGTAGATCATCGAGACACTTGGCATAATTCAAGCATATCAGACGGATAAATAGGACGAAATTCAAAGGAACAAGTTATGCCACGTTGGGAGCTGCAGTGGTTGGTATAGGGTTCGACAGGAACGAGGTGGTTGATAAGGGAATTGGTTATTTGGCGGGAACTAATAACTCGGGACGGGCGAGTTAGCGGCTCTTTCTTGCACCGATGTTATCGCACAGCGAGTTGGCCACCTTCTCATCATTTTGCATGTTTATAATCAAATATGACAACAATCACATAAGAAAAATAGATTAATTATATTAAGAATTATTTATAAATCGACTTTCACATGTATGAGCAGTATATTCAATAGTATTATATATACCACATTGAGATGTATTCTCATGAGAAATCTTTACTCTCTCTCTTTTCTCTTTATTAATGCTTTGTATACAATTTATTCCTTCTCAATTCTTGAAATATTTTTCTGAGCTATATATGTATAATCTCTCTCTTATTTTCTCTTTTACTTCGCACTTATAACTCTTAGTTTTTTATTTTTCTTCAGTAGAATAATAGTGCTAACTACGGAGTATATAACTAGGGGTTAGCGCCAAGCAGGAATCTTGGCACTGAGGTAAAAAAGAGAAGCATTTGATCGGGCTGAACCGCATGAGAATCGCCAAACTACAACACATCTCCAAGGTTTCTCTCAACAGCTGTTCAAGATCTAAGTCACCTGGCAATCGGCTTGCATTCATATACGAGAGCGAATTGGCGTTTCCCCCGCACCGCTGGCCTCCTAAAAACCATGCCTCCAAAAGGTGCTCCAACACGCATAAAACCACTACATTTGCAGACAATTCAGAAACTGCGAGTTAAGAGCCCGAATACTCATCAAGCAAACCCATGTCTTGCTGCCATGACAAGCGTTCTGAGTCAGCCCCCCGCCTCTCTCTTTTTTGCCGCAATTGCATAGAACTTTCTTATCTCATTTTGGGCAAGTGAGGGAACGAAAGAGATTGTGAAAATGGGCAACATATACTAATATGTATGGCTATGTTTTGGTGGCTTTTAGGTTGTTGGGCTTCAAACCGATCGGCGAGCAGCGGATGTTTCGCTTTAGAACAACAATTAAGAACCTGTATGGATAATGGTGTATGTTCCTTGCTCTCCCGTTTCTCCATTGCGCTGCGAGCAACCCCCAACTCCTTCATTTTCCTTTATTGTATTCTATTTGGTCTTTTGAATTGCAAGGACAATAGTTGGCTAATACAACAGCATTTAATTGGATTGTAGAAACCACAACGGAAAGGCAAGAGCACGATCAATTACCACCTCATGCGAATGTTTCCCAAGATATCGGGACCGAGAAAGAAGGACGGCGTGTTTCACTGAGCTTCTACTTATACATCTTATATTCGGTTCTGCTCCATTTTCGCTAGAGCTTCTAGTTATTTTATGTCAGCACATTTCATCTTTTGTATTATATCTAGGTCCCCTCGAACGAACACGGTGAGGTTACTTGGTAGCCCAGGATTCCCAATCCTGGCTTTAGTTTTGTTTGTTCTATACGGTTCAGAGAAATCATTTGCGACTGTATGAGTTGCCATGTGCTATGTTGCATAAGATGCTCCAATCGAGTGTTGGACTATCTGGCCAGGTGCAAGGAGAGCGAAAAAACGAGGATTCTAATACCATCTGCAAGATAGCTGGATTATCTTATACAAGAAATTGCTTCCCTTCTTTTCTTGTGGATTTTCAGAATCAAAAGAGTCATGTATGATTCATCCACGTCACGCCATTCTTCGTTAATTTACAGGAAGAATTTCATGACCCCATACTTGAGTCAAAAATTCACTAGTTGAGGTAAAACAAAGCCCGTTACCATTGACCCTGGCGGATTTTAGCAGCTTATCAAAAAACAAATTTCCACCACCCTCGCTGGACTGATGCATAAACAGGACTGCGAAAAGGTAGACAAGATGGGACATTAGACGAAGACCATTGGCCGTCAAACACGTTCGAATTTCAGTACCAATCTGTTGTTGGATGGCCGGACAGTGTATGCATCGATAGGCTCAATGCCATCGTCATCGATAATCTTGCTTGTGAAGTCCGAATAGATTGCAGCTACGACGAGTTTTATTTCTGATTGGGGCAAAAACAGCGTTATACTTGCTGTCCAAAAGGAAACAAAACGGATTCGTTTGGGGGGCGACGATGGGGGGTTTAATCACAACTTACCCTGCAGAGCTAAATTGCTCCCAACACACATCCGTCCGCCGCTCCCGAATGCCCATAACCACCGCCTCATGTTCCCCAATTCCACCGAGTCCATTGGTTTGAGCCATCGGTCAGGTAAAAACGACCCTGGGTTTGGGGAAACATCGTGGTTTCGATGGAGTGAGTATGCTTGCGCATTTACTCGAGTTTTCCGAGGAATTTAAAATCATCGTATCCCGCGAGAGTTGTAGATGGTGCTGGCGTTATTGGGGGTTGTATACCTGGGATCGGAGAGTGGAGGCGAAGCGTTTCCATAACGATTGCACCCAAAAGTGGTAAAGCATCGATAGCTTTTGGGTGCGGTAACTCGGTTGGGATTTCAGGGACTGATTGGGCTATTATTTTTGGTGAAAGCGTCTCCAATTCTTCGAAGCTCTCCCTGCAAATCAGGATTCCTCGATAGCTCCCGGTGAAAATAAGTAAGGGCAACAGCGCTAGTTTCATGATTAGCGGCAAGATGGTCAACATCTCGCAGGCTAACTCGAGACGCTGTTGCTTCAATGACTTCAAGGTTATCTCTGGTTAGCTTCTTTAGCAAAGATTGCTTAACTTGCTTATATACAACCGGTTCGCAGGCCGGATCTGTCGATGCAAGAAATTTTTCCGCATAATCGATCATCTCCAACCCCCAGTTCTCCATAACTTGGTTAGCCTTGTCACTCCATTTGGAAATTAATGGGATCTTTAGCATTTTGGCCAAATACGTCATCCTGGGAACTTGGTAAAAGAATTCAAATGGCTTTCGTGACTGATAGACTCTGAACCAATCTCTCGCGGTAGGAATGTCCTCCAAAAAATTGGTGCCAGATGCGAGCCCAAATATATATGCGGGAACAAAATCCATCGCTATAGCATTGATAAGCCCATGAACTTCTACATTGGCCTGAAATTGTATGTTCTGCTGGAGAACTGGTAGGAGATGTCGGCATATGATAGCCTGCGATATTGCGGCCATGTGTGGAGAAGCTTGCAGATAAAATTTGGAATATGTTTGCGCACCGAATGGGGTTTGGTCCCCTCCGTTGAGAACATGCTATCCTTCAATGCATGTCAGTCAGATCTAGATGAAAACTGGGCGTTCCACAGAGGCGGAAAAGTCAAAACAGATAACATACCCGTAAGCACCGAACACGCGAGGGTACCAGTCACGTTTTTCAAACCCACCAGCATAGACAGTCCGAATCCCGCCGTCGACACAATTTACGGATATTTCTGATGGCTCCAATCGAACGATGGGTCCGTATTTTTGGTGCGCTTTGTAGATGGTCCTATTCCCCTGCATCCGGAAGCGATTCCATAATATTCATGCAGGGGACGCCGGAGCAGAGATATCGGTGTTTGGTATTTTAGATAGCGGAGATATGAAGACTGGGTATGAAAACTATTTATACAAACAAGGAAGTAGGATGCCAACAGCAATCACGCCGGCAAGATGAATCTGTAAACCATGTCAATTTTTTGGGAGCCTTGCCTGGGAAACCCTGGAGCAGTCGGAGTCGAGGGGCTTATTGTGGGCGTTTACTTGTCCTTCATGCATGAGGCACTCAACCACAATAAACTCCTTGCGTAGACTTATAATTCTCAGCCACTTGGCCATGTGATATAAAGTCTGTAGCCTTGGAAGGTTAGTTACTTCCGGCGTACAGTCGAATGGTGCTCGAAAAATCTGGAATTCCACATCTTTTTTGAGCCTCATTCAACTTTTAGTGCCACTAAAACAATCTATATATAATTATTAGTCATTATATTTTTCAGGCTCTAACCCTCTTATCTACCTTGCATTTTTCAATATAGTGCTAAATTCTACACTTCTTGAAAGTGATGAGAAGCAATATGACGTTTATTAATAATATTGATCATGGATGTGTTTTAGATGGGATGGGATGGAATTCATCTGGTTCAAATTTTGCCAAGAAATTTTGAGCTTCATTCAACTGGAACCACTAGTTCAGTTACTTCCAATGTTCTTCTACACTGATCTAATTTCTATAAGCACTGACTCATACAATACTATGGTACTCTCTTTGCTCTTCTTTTCCTTTCCCTTCTTAAATGATTTGTCCTTTGTGGCATTTATGAAGTGCTAGCGCCGAATTCAGTAGCCCACCAGTTACAGGTTTCTTCTACAAATATTCATTGTTCATTATCGGAATTTAAACATCCTACATTCTATTGCATCATCTGCCATCCGACCACGGTAGATTGAAATGATGTGGTGTCAGCAACAATTCAGTTTTCATTACTGTACTGCATGCCTTCGCGCACGCCATCTTGGGGCAACTTTTCACCGTGCTGATGAGGCTGTCTCAGCTAGAATCAAAGGCCTTTTGCAACATGCACAACAAATTCAAACAGCGGATGGTAACCAAGAGAAGCAGAATGGGTCACCCAACGCAACTGAGGGCGCAATGTCGAGAAGACCATCCATACTGGCCGACGAATCGATGTTAGAGGTTAGTGGATCTTCGCGCAAAATCATGTGGGAGGCAAGTTTCTCTGAGGATTTGAAAAAGATGTCAGTGCCGAATCTGTCCACGACGCTTAAACGACGCAAGCAAGCCAATGCGAGTACCGTTTAAGCCTCTCCAAGCCCGCCCAAGTGGGTACACCCAACTATTGAAAAGTCTCCATCATATAGCAGCTTCTCGCCGCTTCTCAGAATCGTATATCAACCTACACCCGAAGGGAAGACCCTAGCATGTTCGAGGCGGAGCGCGAAGCGATCCTCAGAGAAACTATATAAAAACGATTCACTGCGGCGGGCCTAATTACACCCCAAGGACTCAGCTCACTAGCAAACGAGTGCATCGTAGATGCAATCGCCTGCGGCCAGTTCCGGGATATCTGGCGCGGCAAGGGAACCAACGTTGAGCGCGATCATATGGCTATACCAGCAGCCCTTATATCGACACCGCGGAGTTCTTACCAAATGAGATTATTCAGAAACAGGACATTATCCCACCGTGGATTGAGAAAGAACAGAGGATGGCCAAGGACATTGAGCGTTTTTGGAAGCAGTTGCGTAATGATTGGGAAAAACACATTGTGCAACTCAATGCAAGGTCTCTGGAGAGTTAGATCCTGCGTGCATAGGGTTATGTAGCTGCGGAAGCACGGTTGGACAATAATGGAGGGAGTGGGTCAAATGGGATTGTAGATGAGGAATCCGCTGAGGGGATGGATACAGAAGGTGGGAACAAGGTTCGAATTAAAAATGAAGGAAGTTTCATCCCGGACCCCAAGTCCCCAACTATCTCCCATCCGACACCTGAGAACCAACTCTCCGAACTTCCCCGTGTAACATAAACCAAGGCTCTGAACCCATGGCACCCCTTCCGAACTTCAGTTTCTGCCATTCGTCTCACACTCTGGGATTACGTCTATCTAAAAATCAAATAGGCTTACCACAACCTGGCGATCAAAAAGCTAAATTCACTAACAGAGCCCTACCCCTCGGTCAGACGCCCTACCTGAGGCTGGAGCGAGAATTGTTCTCCTGTTACGCTGACGTGGCTCTGTCTCTACCAGCTGAGCTGCAACGTAGGGAAGCAGAGAAGCCTCACCATTCTAGTCACGGTGTTCCTCACAAGGTCCATGAGAGGGGTTTAAAGTCTATTTCTGGAGTAGAATTTGCGATTTATGAAGTGGATCGGTGTAAGCGATATGGATTTAAACCATTCTGGCGGATCTATGGAATCGGAATGATAATACGACAGCCTAAACTCTCACATGAATTCCATGCACTTGTAGAACGGGTATTTTGGGAGGAAGTTTTCTTAGGGCATTGAACATGCGGTTAAGAGCACTGTGCCTGTCAAGGGGTGACATGTCCATTCCAGCACCTTTTTTTAAATGGATCACGAGTGATGGCATTGTGTGGCGCGCATGGGCATAACCGGTCGAACTCTTCTGAGGCTCGCAAAAGGTGTGGTGAGGATCGATAAGGAAATATTGCTAGTGACAATTGAAGGTAAGATGGTACGGCAAAAATGCATCATCGTGATCATGTTTGTCATGCCCAGCGCTTTTTCCAAGACGGGGGATTGCAACTGCAATGCAGATATTAGATATTTAACGGCCCCAAAATTGCTAGTTTAGAAAAGCCTAGCGCATAGGAAAGTATGTTACGAGGATGGATCTTGTCACCTTACCCCGAACGGGGTCCCTCTGGATGTCGAGACCATAACTATATGCCTGGCAAGATCACCCTATGTAGAAAAAAGGAAATGCGTGTGGATCACACACTCAGAAATTGCAGAGCCAGGCAGGTAGACTTCACGGCAGGCAATACTATACTCAGTCGGCATTGCAACATCATATCCTCATCCATAACGGCGGGAGCGAAATTACCGTCGTATCCTTCATATTATCCTGTCTCACTTGGTTGTCATCAATTTGTTGGAACTGATAATAAGCGCATAATAAGCGGAATACCGAATAAGCGGAATTCAAGAACAAAACTATTGACATTGCTGCATATACGGTGGACGTGTCTGGCCCGGCAAAGTATTGGAGGAAAGAAACGCCAGAGCCTGTATGCTCAAGGGATGGTTCATGGATGCGAATAAAATTCAACAGGGATCGGTGGTCAAATGCGTAACCCAGAAGTACCCCGGTAATATGAAATACGGAACCCAACAAAGCACGGGTATAAACTGCATTTCGCCTTCTTCGTGGAGGAGGACTTTGCGGCGGCACGGCCTCATCATCAGCGAGCGGGAGAGTCCGATCTGGCGATTTGTCTTCATCATCACGATAGGCCGTGAGGTGATCCTGTAGCACAAGATGGAAAACAATTGGCACCATCATCATTGGGATGGCGAGTATTTTCATCGCGACCCAGCAGATGTGGAGCAGCTTCTTGTCCGCAAAGCCGCGCAAAGAAGCGATCCAGCCCAAGTCGGGATCGGCAATCGACGGCAGCGATTCCGGTTTCATTGCCGCGGAGAATGTAGCACGAAGAGGGATAATAAATGGGCGCCAGGGAATTTTCGGATAGTCATTTTTGGGCCAACCAGCTTGTGCCATATCCGAATCGCCAAAAGGGAGTCGTGATATGACCTCTAGATCTCCCACCCAGACTTCATTTACAGCGTTCCCAGGCTCGAAAAAATTGGGAGAGCGGACCCCAGTGACTGCAGAGACTTTATTACCCATGATGCGAAGGAAATGGGCGGAGGCGCTTGTAGAAAGAGAATAACGGAAAGGAGTGTGGAAGGACAAGCAAGGAGTGTATATATAATACGGATGAGACGAAAGGAGCGGTAGTGTGCGTGTTGTGCTCAAAATGACTAGAAAACGAGCCCTTCCTCTGTTTGCACGGCAGATTCAGGGAATCTACCCTGGATACCGGATCTATCGGCGAGAGCCAGAGAAAATTGGTAAGCAGACGTCTCACTGTTGTGCAATGTACTGGTATGATAATCTGCCAATTCACAACAGCTCTCGCGGAAGGCATCATTCAGGCCAAGGGCCAGCATCGCAGTTTCTGTGTATGCAACAGCGCATAGCAGTGTGTTCCAGGCATTCAGGCAGAGAATTGGCCATACAGCAAACCCTCATAGGAGGTGGGTGTAGGTTTTCATGCAGCTTCGCAGTCCCAAAAGGTTTCATGGTGTGTCGAAGTTGAACCATCGGAGCTGTGCAGCAGATACAGCAGATATCCAAAGGTAGAAGCTGTACGTCCATCCCTTGCCATCGCATTGGTATATATGGATAATCGACTGGGAAATCGAGTGAACCCACACTTCGGTTTGTAACACCAGGAATCTCTCACCATTGCAACAGAGGCCGCTGCGAAAAGTTGTGTCTCACGCTAATAATTTACCCCGATACATCCTTACTAGTGTATTGCATCTCCAGGCCACACCACCTGGGATTTAGGCAGCGAGCTAGTGGGCAAGCTAGGGACATTGGCCTCTATAAGCCTCCTGGGACTCCCTATCCTTTTCATCAAGAGATGGAATACCAATACTTAATACCGGTATTAGCATTTCAGCTTAAATTCTTAGCGTAAGTCAAAACTTTTGCAGGAAATTCTGCACAGGCTTGGTTATTTATTCTGTGTTAAAAAAAAATACGGAGGGAGGATTCCCATAGGCTAGGCAACTGTTTGAAGACTCGCAACCACTCTACGTATCTCTCTGTCACATGGTGAAATCTTGGAAACCTATTCCAATTCAATTAAAGAGCGTTTGCCGTGAAGTATATCCTCCGATCGAATAGGGAGCCTCCTAAATCTTTGCTGAAGGAAGCTATTCAGTCCAGGATGATCCCACGCAGCGATTGGAATTCCGCAATCGCACAGCAAGAGAATCTCTGTTGGTCCCTTTGACAGCAATTCACATTCCTGGCTGGGGAAGAAATGCGGTTGAAAATTGGCTTAAAGGTTTCTACCAATCATCCAATCCAGATGGGCTGGTATTTATCAGAGGGTCTCTGCTTCCACAGCTATTATCAGCCTGTAAGTGGCAGAAAAGGTGATGGGTGTGGTGTGATTGTGACAGAGCATGCGGTCATGCAGCCAGGCCAGAAACTGTAGGTAGGGCTCCTCATCCAATAGCATTAGCTCACGAGATGGGTTGGTTGCCCTCGGGCAGCGGGGCTGGTGTCGATTAAGTTGGCAATGAATTTCGGCGCTTAATCTGCAACAAATCATTTGTTCAAGACCACTCAGCCCAGTTCGAACAATGTGCTAGCCAGTGGCCACCATGATAGCTTGGGAATCCCAGCACTTCCTTGTGGTGTTCCTTCTGCGTACATTTTCCGGCGTGGATACTGAATAATGGTGGCTCTGGGGATCACGATGATCCGCACTTCTCACTGCCTTTCTCTGGCTTCATGTTGCTCTCCCTCCCATTTACCTCACGAGTTGAACCAATCACTCGAGCGGCGTCCGCAGATTCCTGTTGCGAATCCAAGAACGATTTTTAGCGTTGAGTCTCCTCGCATGGATCTTATATCTGGCATAACCCCGCAGAGTGGTAAACTCTACTTCCTTTGTTATAGTGGTGGAAGTGACCTGGATTGCCTGGGAGCCTTTATTCCTGGCATGTCGGATGCGGTATAACATTTGGAAGATCAAGAGATGTCCGCTTCACGGTTGCCATCTTCTCCCTCTGTTACTTGTTTTCTCCTGCTTTTGATTCAGGCCTCTATTGTCCATACGGCCTCAATTCGGTCAATCAACATTTTCAAAGGCCCGGCTCCAGCCCCAGAGGACGGCCCTCCACTTTCGGCTTCTGCGACTCGCGATCTCAATCTCCTCTGGAGAGATATTGTCGCCATAGTAGGCGCATACGTCGGCACAGTGGTTATATTCCTGGGCTGCCTTCTCACAACGGGGAGACGGCTAAGACGTAGCGCGCAACAGTCCAACCGGACTCTTGACATGGAAATGGTCAAGCCGCAAAAACCGACACTTAACGCTGCAATAAGCCCCGCAACACCAAGCAGACTTTGGCTAACTCCAGAAAGCGGAGTAGAGTCTCATACCTGGCCAAGCCCAAAGAAGGGGAAATCCACCTTCAGCATGCCTTGGTCAAACACTTCTAGGAGTCCTACGTCGCCGATCTCCCAAACTGGGAGTATGGCCACATTCGATGAGACTGTCGTTCAAGCGGACCGAATAAAAGCCCAAGATGAAATGGAGCGGCTCTACGCCGCTGTTATGGAGCATGACGCAAAGCAATCTCGTTCTGTGTACGATACGAACGAAGACGATAACACTTCGCCCGTACAGCAACAAGCCACATCATCCTCTCCTGAATCTATTGAAGTGCCTCCAGAATTTCGACATCTAAGACAGCCTGCACTACCTGTACTACCTGTACATCCACAGCAGGCCCGATTGAAGAACCTGCCCACATTTCCACCTCCCAAAGATCCTTCAGTGCTCCAAGTACAGCGACAGCAGCATCAGCAATTGCCCTCCTCGCCTCTATCGCCAATGGCTCATCGGTTATCGAGGCTTTCTAATCTTTCATTCCTCAGCTCGCGTTCTCGTGACACTACGACTAGCGGAAAAGCCCGAAGGAAGTCGGTGCGAAATCTTCCAATCTCACCTCCCATGTATTCTCCTGAACTGACGTCGAGTAACTGTTCTGAAACCCAACCGCTATCACCTCGGATATACACCCCAGGACCTCCTCCACTCAATCCAGGCCAAAAATCTCTTGACCCCCCACCCCAGAAAGCCCCAACGCCTCTCAATATCAGAACCGGCAGTAGTAACTCGACGCTACCATTTCGCGCATTCTCCTCGCCTGCAAGTGCTACACCAACTAAAACCACGATCGTTGAGCGTCGGGAGAGCATGTTGAGGGCTGGTGGCCCTCGAACGGGGGTCCCGCACACGCCATATTCCCCTTACATGCCCTTCACGCCGATCACCCCTATTACTCCTAGCCATGTAGTAACCAGGAGAGAGTGGAAACAGAAAAGGAAGGAGAATGGACTGCGAGTACAACAGGAGGAAGATCTAGTCATGAGCGATGAGGATATGTGGGGAGCATAGACTTCACAGATAACTTCAATGTTCCACATACAAATCTTGTGACGGGATCTCTTTTCCTTCCCTTTTGTGCTTCTCATCTGTAGTTTTTTCTATATTGCTAGCAACTCTTTCCATCAGTTTCAGCATATATCAAGACTGTTTGTTACATCCCTCCTTGATGTTTCCCATGTCCCATTCAATTGCGATATCTTTTTTCTCTAGGTCACTCCCTGGTAAACGAAACTCGCCCATATTTCACCACTCTCCGATCTTTTTTAATGTATATTCAATATATACCCCAGCGTACCATATGTACTCATATGAATAATGAAATAATCACACTCGCTTAATAACCGCTTTTCATCGTCTTCTATTTTGCATTGCACGGAGGTTATGAGGGTTAGAGTAGTGGTGGCAGTGTTACCTCCAACGCCGTTCTGTAGGTAAGCGCGGAATAACTCAGAACACGGAGGTCATGGATCCAAATCTCGCTTTGGTCACTAATGTTACCGTAAAAAGGAAAGAGTCTACGAGAGTAGAGAAGGATACAGAGCTTTCAACATGTCTTGTATTTATTCCTAATGTCAAGGTTTTCCAACCCCTGTAACTTGCTGGTTTTCAAAACTTTTCCTTACTAGCCATAGGTACCGGAATTCATCGGTCTCCAGACAGGTCATGGTATATGACAAAATTTAGGAACAGCGCTATGTAGGGTCTCTGCTTTAAACAGCGATTATCCGCTTCTCTTCAAGGGGACTATTAGAAGTGGCTGCCGGGTGTCACAACCTTTGCGTTTTTCATGACCAGAGATCATTCCGGATCTGGGAATGTCTGTGGTAAATAGGCTTGCCTTCTAATTGCACGGAGAGTTGCGCTACCTTTCTTTTTTTCATGTGTTGAGGGCTATATTAATATATGGATGTTATTGTTCAGTCGACCAGATGCAAGCGCAAGGAAGGTCAAAATTGATAATATCTCTTCTCCTATCCCTTTCCATGATCGCCGAAGCACCATTAACTCAAACCCCTTTCCTGCATTTCTGAATAGCTTGTCCTTCTTCAATATTTCCAATTTCCTTTTCTTCTTCTAGCTCTTGAACCCATTATTTGCAAAGACTGCCCTGTCGCCTCATCAAGCAGTTTATATTTACGAGGACCGATTCTCCAGGGCAAAGAGCCCTCAACACCAATGGCGAAACAATTGAGGATTGTGCCATCGATAGCACATTTGCATTACCACTCACAACCCTGCAGCCAATGTCCATGTCCAGGTCAATTTCATATTTGAACCATGAATGATCCTTGCTTGCTGTCATTACGCAGCGTAAATCTTCCCAAATCATACTCCGTATCCTCTTCAGAAATGCCCAGCCCTATTTTTGTGCACGTCAAAAACGGGAAAAATTTACTCTGTAACCTTTGCGATAGATCCTAGCAATTTATTCCCATTCCAAGGATTCTTGTCAATAGCAGGTTGCGCTCGCCAAAAACTTACGTTTCCTCATTCATCTATACATAGGGGATAGCTGGATGCAGCGGCGGCGTCAACGCTGCTGTCGAACTTTTAGACATGCGCGTGCTGAACAGATATTGTTATCTAGACGCTCAGCCCACTCCATTATATTCACAGAACAATCAAAATCACCATCGACCTAAAGTATACGTCGGTGTGGAGACAAACGTAATCTGTGTTAACTTCACATCAATAGACAACATCACCAGCCCACATCGGCAATAGTATGAGCAGAACCTCAGGCTCGGTTTGGACCTTGGTACTGCTGTGCCTGAGACTACACGTCGGCTGACCCCTCGGGTGACTCACCTGAACTACGCTAGTGAAGGTCACCTGACCCAAAACAATTCTTGGCACAAAAAGGGTCAGCTGAGGATAAAACAAAAATGAACTTTTACCTTCTGATACATCTGTTAATACACACAGCAAAAATGAATATTGATTCTTTCTCAGATGATAGTGATCTATTAGATCATGATTTGGATCAAGAGCATTGACTTGAGGAACACACAGAAGTTTTGGATGAAAGCACAGTATGTGAAACTAGTCTTTTACTACTATTTGATTGCTTACTGACTAGTAAGCCAACCCATGAACCCATTATTTTGACAGATCGCCGGAGTACAAGCACACTTCCTACACAGGAAATAGAGCATATTAGTCTTATTCCTGAATATCCAGCAACCTCAGAAGGTGGATATACATATATCATTGGTACACAGTTGCTTGATGATGAGGATGCTAAAAAACCATGGTCACTGGTATGAATCACTAGTGGATGATCAGTATATTGCTAGTGAGATACTAATACATCCATGTCAACATAGATTCAATATGGAAAGTCACAAACTGCCCCTTCAAAAAAGACCTATTCATCATATCTACAAACATCTGTTATACAACATCAATATAAATGTTCTGGTATTCAACACTGTGAATATATACAACCAGATTTGATGAATTTTCAACATACCCAAGTTGATGAGGCTTTATGGCAGAGACTATCTGCTTGTCAAGTCACTTTAACTCCAGAGACAGACAGACCATCAATTCAGGCAGCAATTGGGTTTGTTATAACTGGTTTGTCACTAGTATTCTTTCAGTACAACACTAATATTATACTAGTATGTACTATGGTATAAAACGACAATTTGATTCACACCGTGCATGCGGTGAAAATTCTCTGCCAACATGCAAACCTGAATAATGAATCTTTACACAATCAGTAAGTATTTCAGGAGTAGATCTCTAACTAGTCATTGCTCAGAGGAACACTAGTTGATAACTGATAATGATAATAGAATGTTGCTGGTGTTTTCCAACCATATATTGCCTGTGTGAACTATACACCTCACAACTCAACTCACCTTTTTCTTGCAATATCAACAAGTTCTAGAATTAATGTCTTCTATTTGAATCAGCTTTTTGAGAGAGAATTACAAATTGAAGCTGAGTTATGCAGTGGCATATTTCCAACAAGCACTCAACGAACTCATTGCAGTAAGTTGCTCACTAATCAATAAGTAGTAGTTCATTGGTCATTAACTAATATACTCTAGATATTGATCATGCTCAGGGGTGAGGAATATTAGTACATCAATCATGCAATGTTACATTTGATATCCTTATTCCAATTGATCAGCAAAATAAACCCTATATTGCATTAAGATCCCATGGAATACATTCTCATCCACCACCTTTTCCATCATGAATACCAAGCAATATCACACGTGATGTTGCTCATCTGATTCATCGAATGAATGATCCAGATCTCACTCTCAGTATGTTACTTGTTACTCACTAATCATATACTAGTATTCAACTAATATCATTTACTTGTAGCTCTCTTTCTCAAGTCCCCGCAGGTCAAAGAACTCTGTCAAAGATATCATACAAATACCTTTGCTCAGATTCATGCAAGTTTAGTGAATATGAATTGAATTGCAGCTCTTATTTATAAAGAGTGTTTATTTCACTGTCCAGAAGGGAGAGATTTTGCAGGTGTTGTCTATCAATATGAGCAAGATCAACAAGACAACAATGTAAGTACCAGTCATTCATCAGTTGTCCATCAGTTATCCACTAGTGACTGATCAGTCTTGATAATGTGAATAGCCTTATATTCAGCGCATTTATGAGTCAAACAGTGAATTTATGATTTTCTGTGCATTCAAAGAACAAATCAAGGTTCTTGTCACACTAAAATCATTTGAAATTGATATGTCATTCAAATGGATTCAGAATCGACATATAAATGAAATTGTTCTTGCTACAATGTTATCAGAGCAAAACAAAAGTAAGTCATATCTCTGACTAGTATATTACTAATATCTAACAAGTGAACTACTAGTCTTTACCCTTCTGCGTGTCATTGTCAATACTGAAACAACTACAATGTACAAAGATCTATTTCTTAGACTTTTTACACTTGTTAAAGATGTAACAGAGCAGAATATAATCTTTCATCATTTGCATGATGATGGACTTTATACTGTTGTGATGGATATGGATACAAAGCAGATGACTGGTAAGTTAGTTACTGATAAATAAGTGATACTTGATCAGTAACTGACTAGTTAGGTCTGGGACTTGCTGTAAATGAAATCAACCCACAGCAGCGAGGATGGAAATGGCAGTTGAGAAATCTTATTATCTTCTGTCATATTCACTTTTTCCAAGGAATTGATCACACAATTGAAACTAGTTCAACTAGTTCTGATCTTCACCATCACATGCAAAGTCTTTTAACTTGCACCAGCTATAGTGACTACATGAAGCTATGCAGATTAATGATTGGTGAGTAGATATCATGACTGATTATTCACTGATTGGTTATCAGTCATTCACTAATAATATCATTCAGACAATGAGTCAACCAATGTTGCCAACTGAGCACACCACAAAATGCAGTCTGTTATTGCAGCTGGACTTAATAAACATTGCTCTTTCATAGCAACTGAAATTTATCAAGAAATTCAAAAGCATACAAATGCTGTTGAACAGACTCATAACAAATCTTTGATATGAGGGTGATATGCATCCTTACTTGGAACTGTACTTCAGTAAGTTATATCACTAATCATTCAGCAGTAACATACTAATCAGAAACTAGTGGCCGGACATTGAATGCCAGAGATGTTGATCAGCTCAAGATATACAACAAATTTGGTCTTCCACATAACAATTGATCAAATGCACTAAGTCAAAGATATTTCAACAGCATTGTCAGAGGTGAGATAACTTTGATATATTAGTTCTCTATTAGTGATTGACTAGTAATAGAACAATGCAAATGAGCTTGAGATGAGGAAGTGTTGGAGGAGAATTCTCTGCTAGACCAAGCCTCATCTTCTGGCAATATTTGAAATCAATCTCAATCACAGCATAGAAGTACCTCAGCAAGGTGTGTAATAACTAATTAAGGATTAGTATTTCACTAGTGCTAATATATCATTTTCTAAAAGAGGAACAAGAAATCAACAGTGCTCATGCACACCATCTGTAATATC